ATCTCAAGAAAGTGATAGCAGAGGTTGTAGCAAAGTTGTCCATTGTTCTTCAATGAGTATCATTTTATACTGGGAGTTGCCTGCCCGTTGGAGGAGGAGACAACTGCATTGAATGCGCGTACTGTGGATTTGACTGCTTGGACCCGCAAACTTGGAAGGTTTCTATTTTTGTAATGTATCTTCCAAAAATCTCGGTCCAATCATCAGCAATTACTCCACAGCGTATCAGGCTCCATAATTGAGCATTAATTACTTTCCTTTCATGTAAGATCTTCTAGCCGTTAGGAAATTTCCCGTTTGTTATACGGCCGTTGAAAGCAGCTTCAAAATCTTCTAAGTGTCTATCCAAGTCTGATGAGATTATCTGATGGCATTCTGATGTGTGGTGAGTAACTATGATGCTTCTCTGAAGTTGAGTTCTGATGAAGCTTGGCGACGAACTCTGATGCTTCTCTGATGAGTAGCTCTGCTGGCATCTCTGATGATGTTTTGATGAACCAGCTCCGGTAGCAACTCTGATGTTATTCTGAAGAGCAACTCTCATGAGAGAATCAAGAGGGTCTCTGACCAGTCGACTACTCTAAAACTTACAAAGAGAAATTGTAATACAAAATTTCTATAAGGGGTACTTTAACATTCTAATCTATCCTAGCATCACCAAAATCTAATTACATTTATTCCTTACAATTTCCCCCTTTTTGATGATGCCAAAACCCTTAAACTATTTCCAGAGAAGTGCCTTTCACCACAACAGAAAATAAAGTAAAAACTTTTCATTTAGAATCTTGGTGGGCACTTTGCATAGGAAAATAGCAAGAGTACGATACAATCAGTCAAAGCATAAATAAATGAATTGAATACATAAAGCAGTAAGGAACACAGAATTTGAAATTGCCATTCAAATTAGAGGCAAGATGGTTATTTCATATATATCAGCAAGAATTTAAAGCAACAGGGAATAGAGATTAGAAACCTTCCTCTTCTAATCGTTTCTATGCTTCTTCAGCCTTCTTGAGCTCTTCATTTACTCTAGCTCTGATGGTAGTCAGGTTCCTTGGATTCTGATACTCTGACCAGTGAGTTTCAAGCTTGCAATCCAAGTAGTTTCTGATGGCTTCTGAGATGTCCTTGCCAGGGATCACTCTCATTCTCCACCATTCTTCAGCTTCTTGGACTGAGCCACCATGATTGATTATGATCAGACCATCTTTATCTTGAATAAGGTTCTCCTTTTGCAGAGGAGTCATGTGCTTCTTCATTTCAGAGAACTGGGCAGAGTCAGGTTTAGACAGATCACTGTTTAGCCATTGATTGAGAGTGAAAGTGGAGGCCGTCTTCTTTCCTTTCTTGGATCGAGGAGGAGGTGGTCTCTAAATCCCTGCAGCAAGCCTCTTCTGCCTGGCTCTCTTATAAAATATGGCAGGATCAGAGACAAGAGTGACAGATAGAGACCTGGAGCTTGGGCCTTCGGTAGCTCTGGCCTGTTCTCTAGTATCTTCCCCCTTTTTGGCATCAACAAGATCACCAAGCAGGAGTCTGATCTTTGAGAATTCTGTTGCATTATTTTCTTTGATTGTCTCAAGAACGTCAGGGAGAGTCTGAGTCACAGAGGCCAGCCCTTCTATCAGCTCTTTTTGCTTGTCCACAGCTGATTGGATATTTTTGGTGTTGGCTTCAAGAAGGACGAAGAAGAAGAAGAAGAAGAAGAAGAAGAAGAAGGTCCACTCTCCTCCTAAGGGATCAGAACCTCAGGGGGAACCAGCATCAGAGAAGGCTGATGTTCAGGGGGAACCTGATACGGCTAGAAGATCTTACATGAAAGGAAAGTAATTAATGCTCAATTATGGAGCCTGATACGCTGTGGAGTAATTGCTGATGATTGGACCGAGATTTTTGGAAGATACATTACAAAAATAGAAACCTTCCAAGTTTGCGGGTCCAAGCAGTCAAATCCACAGTACGCGCATTCAATGCAGTTGTCTCCTCCTCCAACGGGCAGGCAACTTCCAGTATAAAATGATACTCATTGAAGAACAATGGACAACTTTGCTACAACCTCTACTATCACTTTCTTGAGATTCAAATTCACATTCATTCTACAAAAAAAGCATACGTTGGGAAGATTAAACAACTCAAATCCTCCAATCCCAACGACGAGCAAAGTTTCTCCAGTTCTTCAACACTTCAAGATCTTCATCAACAAATCTTTTGTGACGAAGCTAGTTGGAGAAAAACTCTGTTTTTTCAAACATCTTCTGCTAAGAAGGGTGTCCAAGTAACTGCAGTAGTGAAGTGGTGATACTTCCGGGAAGCTGAGTGAAAGGACCAGTCATCAGGAAGCAGGACTGCATCCCGGGTGACAACTAGGCTTGAAGAAGACGTGGAGAACTTCTTAGGCGCTAGGGACTAAGGCTTGTAACTGTCGCTTTACAATCTTAGTGGAACAGTGGACTAGAGGAACGCATTGTTCCTTGAACCACTATAAAATCCCTGGTGTCATTTACTTTACTGCATTTTATTCCTGCACTTAGGACTCTAAGTGTATAACTCTTAAAGACTTGGAATCTATGTTCAGCAGATCTTGTGTTAAGAGTTATCAGAAAGGCATTTGCCTTAGTATTTTCTTGAGGCTACCAAGACAGACTTTAATCTGTTGTCTGGTCCAGTTCTGCCATCAGAACTCGACCATCTCTGTCATCAGATTTGGACCACCTCTTATAAGTCAGTTTTGACTTAGAGAAAAATCTGTAAAAACAGAGCAGTCTATTCGACCCCCCCCCCCCCCCCCCCCTCTAGACTGCTTCATACTTAAACGGGACCAACAGAGCTGACTCTCAACAATGTGTTGTACGTCCCGGAGATACGCAAAAACCTGATCTCGGGCTCATAGTTGAACAAGCATGGCTTCCGCATGGTCTTTGAGTTGGACAAACTAGTTTTGTCTAAATCGGGAATGTATGTGGGCAAGAGGTATGCAGTTGATGGGTTGTTTAAGCTCAATGTAATGACTATTATTGATAATAATAATAATAATAATAATAATAATAATAAAATCTCTTCTGCTTACTTGCTTGAGTCTTCCAATGTGTGGCATGGTAGACTAGGACATGTTAATTTTAATTCTATACGTAGATTAATTAACATGGAACACATTCCTAAATTCACATTCTAAGATAGGTATACTCCATATAAATTTTGAATAATTATTGAAAACGAAGTATTCCTGGAATAGTAGTGTAAAATTGTAGAATTTCAAAATATAGATATTAGAAGTAGCACATTGACATCTTACATTTGATATTACCAGACTTTAGTGTGTTATATTATCCAATATCCATACATTACTTAAGAGAATAAAACTTATATTTAGAAATGAAAGTATAGTACCAATTTGACTTTACTCGTAGTAGTTTCCACCGTACTGTCCGTGATGAAGGTACATGACTGTACATGAATGAATGAAGTATTCTTAATTATTCTTACTACATCCCTACATGACCGTACTTGATATATACACAATTGTAATTAATTGGCCCACAAATTATGACATTTTGTCCACAATTCCACACCATGCTGGATTATTCTGGAATCCTCTCAAGTACTGGAGAAAGTGGAACAAAAAAATGAGATTGGGTAAAAGAAGGGTGGTGCGTGTGGATAGTTAGAGCATCTTCAATGCTTTCGGTGTGTTGGAGATGATTTGTCATCCAAATGGAAAGAGTCTACTTTCTTCTTGGATGATTTGTCAATCCAAGGTCCATCAGTGGACTTTGTGCAAGACTTTGGTTTTTTCTTTCTTTTGCCAACTTAATTGACCCTCTCCATTTTTTTGTTGCATTGAATAACACATTTACTAAATGGAAGTGTATTTGGTGAGATGGAGATGCAATCCACCTCTTCATAGAAGATGGAGTCATGGAGAGCAGTTGAAAACAAGTAATCGAGTAACAGGGATATACTAGCAATAGGTTAAACTTTTTGTCGAGATACTACTAGTAGACAATAGTCGAAGAACTAAAAATTGAAAATTGAGTAACAAAAGTTTCACCAACACGAAAGTAACAGAAACTGTCACAAACGGAGTATTAACTTTATGCATGTTTTTTTTACCAGGGCTTTATGCATGGATAAGAGATTGATGAGCTAATTAAAACGGTTCTAGCTAGAATTGACTTAACTGTGGATTTTGGGCGTGACCGTTGCCCTTGAATAGACCACCATGTACTTATAAAAAGCCGGAATCTGGAAAAAGTCAAAACACTATTAGAAGCAACCATTTCAATTACTCTGGACAGAATTAAATTTACATTGTAAAAATGAATGGAATACTCTAAGTTGCATAAAAATAAGAAGAATGATGCACAGATACTAACACATGCACAGATGGATAATAGCATTCTGGTAAAATAACATAAGTAGTCATATTTTAGGAAAACTCATTAGTTTTAGTAATATTGGTGGTAATTCTCTCAAGTAAAGAAAGCAGGGGAGTGGCGTTTTGCTTGTACAGAAGAAGAAAGAAGCCTGAAGAAAGAGGAGAAAAGGGGAAGAGGGGGGATTTGAGTGGAGTGCCATGTCACCAAAGTGACTAGCTAATCGGGAATCAGAATACAAATTTGACTATATTTATGTAGCAACAATGCTTGATGTATATATCCACTTTTATACCTACTTTATACCCACCATTTTGTGGATGTTTTTTTTTGTCTGTGAACCCTGGGGTCACAGACAAAAAAAAACATTTCACAAACATAGGTGTGCACAAAAGTGGGTATAAGAGTGGGTACAAAGATCATTTTTGTTTATATAGTTCATGGACTCAATTGAATGTTTTTTTAGTTGGAGGGCTAAATTGACTTTTTCGCTATATCTCGAGGGTCTATTTGATAGTTTTCCATCATGGTCATCATCATCATTATCATTATCAATTCATCATCGTCATATTATGCAATCACGAGATAACATTCTAAGTTCTAGAATATATTTATTGTTCTCTGTAGTGGTTTTGGAAACATCCAGATTTCAAATCAAATCCATTTTATGTTGCCGGGGATTCTTATGCAGGGATCGTTGTTCCAATTATAAGTGTGCTTATATCTGATGGTACGTATTTACCATATATACGTGTCTACGCATATTTAACTTTGAATATTTAACTTTGAAGCCTAACTATCTCCCAATGTAAGAATCCTATTCTTTGGGCCAACTATAGTATAGGTTTCATATTATGTGAAATTAAGTTAATACAAATTCATTGTATTGCCTTCTTTTGATCTTGTTAATTTCTAAAAGCAACATACTTCCTCCGTTCCCTTTTAATTGCAACAATCAACATTTCAAGTTTGACAACGCACAAGTTTGACCATTAATATATTTCATACATTATTAGTAAAAAAAATTAAAAAATTAATATTTTGAAATTTTAGAATGAGAAGAATTTAACAATATTTTTTTAAAATTTAATTTATAATACATTAATAAATAAAATATAGTCAAAGTAGAATATGTGAATAGTGCAATTAAAAGAGAACGGAGGTAGTATGAAGTACTACATATATGGAGTTTGATGCACTAAACACTCTTGTGATAGTATAAATTTGGCATATTAGCCCCTGTGATTGAAAAATGTGTCAAATTCCTCATGTGTTATAATTATTCATTTGCAAAAAACACTAAGAACAAATGTAGTGATATTGTCAATTCTACTTATTGTATATTTGATGATCTATAACATTAAGATACATGATTTCAAAATTGTTAAATTTGTTCTTGAAAAAAAATTATACATGAATAATTATAACATAGGGAGCCGTGACACATTTTTTAAATCACATGCAGCTAATGCGCCGAATTATATATATATATGATACAATAGCAATTAATAACAATAAGGCAAAATTCCCTAAATAGGAGTAATAAAGTTTTGCAATTCCAAAATATGTCTGTCATGTTTTTATTCACTAAATATGAGTAATTTTTGTCAAGTTTTGCAATAACATACTTTAAACATGACAGTTTCTGCCAAGTTTGTTTTTTTCCAAACTTTGGCAGAAATTATTCCTATTTAGAGAATAAAAATATGAATGTCCTAATGTAGATTTTGAAAACGTTGTTACTCTTATTTAGGATGGACAATTTCTATAACAATAATACTGCTAGATATAATATAATGTTGGTCTCATCTGATGGCGTACTAAAACACATGAAAACATGAAGTAACCCTTGAGATCCACTTGACACCCTATAGTAATTTGGTTCGAATTGATTTCATGGAACCAATATGAAAGGAGCCAATCTGAAAGCAGCTCGAGCAACGGAGCAAGGAATCTAGGTTTTCACAAGTATTTGCATTTGGAGTATATATTAAGGGCAATTACTTTATATATAAACTCAAATATTGTCCTTGTGACCTTGTCATTGCTAAATAAAATGTCCCATTAATTCGTTTTTCTAATTTTTTTGGTACAATCCAACGGTAATAACATAATCATTCTGTTTGCTACAAAGTCATAATGTTTTAGTTATTTGGTTGAAAATGCAATTTCCTACGAATATACATATTTTATAGGGTTTTTACTTGAATATTACTAATTTTGAACCATTTATCAAAAAAGTGATCACTTTTAAAAGGGGCAAAAAAGTGATCAAGAAGGTCATATATGTGCAATTAGAAAACATGATGTAACTGCAAAAAATTTATGTCACTGTGTGTTCGTTTTTTTGTAACTACAGCCATCACTCATGTCACTACAACCACCGCCCGTGTCACTGTAGCAACCACCCATGTCACTGCAACCACCGCCCGTGTCACTGTAGCCACCGCCCGTGTCACTACAACCACCGCCCGTGTCACTGTAGTCACCGCCCGTGTCACTATAGCCACCGCCCGTGTCACTGTAACCACCGCCCGTGTCACTGTAGCCCCCACCCATGTCACTGTCGCCGGACACAACCGCAGTGACGCCGCCGCGTGCTATTGACACTCTGGCACAACCCTTGCACCTTGTCCTAGCCTAGAGCCGACCATCAACCCCTCACAACCAGATCCACCCCCAACACCGCCCAGATTCACCCCCCAACACAACCGGCCAAAGTCTGCGACCTGCCAACCTCCGCTGTCAACCACCACACCCCAGCCCCTACCTCACCCACCCCACTCCCCTGTCTCATCCCAGCCCCCTGCCTCATCCACCTCACTCTGCGTCACCCAACCCACCTGCCTCACCAGATCTCAGTCCCAGCGGCCAGATTTCTAACCTTAGCAATGGAGACCATCACAGAAGGATAAATTGAAGAAGAAGGGATAAAATTGCAGAAGAAGAAATGAAATCGCAAAGCTTCTGCAGTCGTCAATGGATTCCAAGCTTCGCTCGTCGCCCATTGGAGCCATATCCGAAGCGTCGTCCTTCATCTGGAGTTGAGCGGATTTGGAGCAGACACGACGGAAGGACAAAGCTTGTGGAGCAGATCTGGAGCGGGCGGCGTCTGGTGGTGTAGGCGGCGAGATTCATTGTCTTCGACGGAGCTGGTGACGGAAGAAGATAGGCGATGCAGATGCGCAGAGCTGCTAGATCTCGGAGCAGATGTGAAGAGCTTGTTGATCTCGGATGAAGATGCAGATGGATGCGGCCTGCGGGCGAACTGTCTAATTCAACGGGAGACGGAGGGAGAGATCACTTTTTGGGGAAAAACAAAAGTGGTTATATTTTTTGAAATAGAAACCTAGGGAGTAATAATAGGGCCATTGTTTCTATTTTATACAGCCACATTTTGATGTAAAATGAATTTGAATATCTTTATAGCTTTAGTACAAGCATACCTGAAAAATAAAAAACAGTCACTACAACATTTCAACACTATCATCCAAAAGTGTTACAATATCAGTGAAAAGTGTTACATTAGAGAAAATGTAACACTTTTTTATCATTACTTTTGCTCATGTTGCATTTTCCCTATTGTAACACTTTTAATCCCTAATGTAACGTTTATACATGTAAAAAGTGTTACACTAGATCTAAAAAGTGTTGCATTAAAGAAATATATAACACTTTTATAAGTATGTTACATCTTTAATGTTACGTTAGGTTTTAATACTACGTATGTAGTAGTGAGTATGGATTGCAATGACTTTGTTGTGTCACCGAATTTTTAAGCATATACTCCGATATTAGTTTTTGTTTTAAAATACAATTATTGTCACTCAAAGTTATTAAATCACATTTTGTTCACTTCCCTTATATATATTTGGTCATACATCAATACTATGTATTATTTATGTACTTCACAAAGAATAAAATTAGTAAATGTAACTAAGCTAACATTAATGTACAAAAGTTTGGAAAGAATAGAAATATCAAATTAACATACTTAAGGATTCTAATGATGCCATTGAATGACTATATAATTATTACTACATACCCCGTACTTAAACAATGAATGGTTTTTTTTTAATGAAATGACATGTTTCAATTTATAACCATGTACGTAGGAAATGAAGTTGCCAACAAGTCGGAGGTGATCAATCTTAAGGTTTGTGTGTGTAGCATTCAGTTCCAATTGTTGTTGTACCAAAGTAGTTAAATAATAATGTATATTAGCATATATAGTAATTAACAATGCCATTGTTAATATTGTTTTAGGGGTACATACTAGGAAACCCCGTAACATTTCCTGCCCAGAAAAATTATTCAATTCCATTTGCTCATGGAATGGGTCTCGTCTCCGGTGAACTTTACAAGGTTAGTGTTTGCAAATTGTAATTTATTATTTTCATATCAATTCCGTAATATTTTTTATGGTAAAGTCGTGTTTTATATATTAATGTGTCTTGTTTTTATTGGACAATTAAATATTCTAATACAGTAATACTTCTATGCTGTTTAAGTGTTTAACTACACAGGCTCCAAGTTATAATAAAAATATAGGAAAGAAAAATATCAAATATTATGGGTTTAATGCAATAAGATCTAGACCAATATAATAAATAAAATAAAAACACCAAATTTTACTAGTCCGTTCTAAAAATAATTTTCTTTCAATAAGATGTGATATTTGATGCTTTGTTTTATGCATGTAATACAATTGGAATTAAATCTTCATCGAAATTAAAAAACAAGACTCCAAATAATTGTAGCTTGTATTCTATTTTGTTTGAATGTGTTTTTATCTCATTAGAAAGTTGTGTAGAATAAGCCCATTTTCTTAATCAACACTAATTTTAGCACTCTTTAATTTTTCAATGCTCCAAGTAGTTACAATGTAAAATTGTAAACATGAAATCTTATTACTTCAATCCACTAAAGAAATAGTACTTTACAATAAAATCATCAAATCTTATTGCTGCAAAACCAATCATCGACTCCAATTTCCAGTTCAATTGGATTGGGCTTATGATTGAAGAATTTTTTGGTACAACCAAACTTTTCTCACACTATACTTCAGTCCACTAAAAGTATACTATATCCATCCTCCAACATTGGGATAAGAAATTAAATAAAAGTGTGATTATTTCAAACAAATGAAATTATCTAGTTGATATTGAATTGATAATAATGTGTAAATAAAGTGAGAATGACTTGCAATAACTCAATATATTATTACATATTGCAGACTAGCAGTACTAAATATAGTATGTGATAAATGTTGTGAGACAGACGGAAAAGGTAAAACCAGACAAAGGTAGGTGGGACCTATAGGGACCAGAGTAATACCTTAAGTATATACTACGTACGAAGTAAAAGGTAAAATCGACACAAAACTACTTTTACATATTTAACAAAAATAATGGAAAACTTCACAACAATAATCTTAAATGGTTACCTGCTTCACAAAAGTAAAGAAAAAATGACAGATATGATACCATGAGCTTCCTTGTGGACAGAAATAAGACACATTTTAGAATTAGACAAAAATCTAACTTAATATTAACAACTGGACTCAAATACCCTTATTAACCCATCTCTCCATAATTCCAAATCTCGGTTCCAGACTTCCGAATCTCAGTTCCAAACCTCCATCGCCCAAAACAACAATCGGATCTCCATCTCCGTAAGTCATCCGCACCTAATCGCCGGAAGAGACAGTCGTGCCTCCATCTAGCATTGCACCGTGACCGTTCGACCTCCTCTGATCCGCATCGCACCCCGACAATTCAACTGCCGCACCTCCATCACCAAACTTTCTCCTCCTCTTCTCTCTGAATTTCTGCACAGCAGAGGCGAGCTTTACTCGGCTTCTAAGGCTGGTACGAAGACGATCTTCACTGATCCGGTGGGCTAGGGTTCCACGGCGGTGCAAATTAGATCCATGGACGACGGAGGTAGGCTGGCAACTAGGGTTAGGGGTGGTGGTGGTGTGATTGTGGGTGAGGGCTGTTGGATGGGGGCTGAGCGCTGGTGGCTGGGGTTGGCAGACGGCTAGGTTAGATGAGGTGGTGGTGGTCTGGCTGTTGAGAACTAACAATTGGGGTTGGGGGCTGGGACTAGGGGGCTGAGGGTTTGGGACTAAGGGGCTGAGGGCTTGGGACTAAGACTGGGGCAGGGCTCGTGGGGGTGGCGCAAGTTTGTGCTTGTGGTGGTACAACGGTGGCGGTCACAGTTGGTCACTGGAGTCACTACCTGTGGCCGTGACTAGCAGGGTGGTGGCGGTCTCTAGTCGGGGTAGGGACGGTGACTGCACGGGCTACAGCAGTGACGAGCCAGGGCGTCAGCGTCGGCATTGATTGGATGAGGCGGGGGAGATGGTTTAAAATTATGTCATTGTATGTAATTGTAACTGCTCGGTGTGGTCACTGCTCGGGTGGTCACCGGCAGGCGGTGGTAGTAATTGTGACTGTAGTCATTAGAGTGGTAGTAACAGAGAGGTGGTCACTAAAACGGTAGTCACTGGGATGATAATTATTTGAGCGGTAGTAACTAAAACGGTAGTCACTGGAGCGATAGTAACTGAGACGATGATCACTGGAGCGGAAATAATTGAGAATGTGATCACTGGAGCAGTAGTAACTGAGACGATGTCACTGGAACCGTTGTAACTGGAACGGTGGTCACTGGAACGGTAGTAACTGAGACGATAGTCACTGAAATAGTAGTAACTGAGACTATTTTCACATAATTTTAAAGTACTACCTCCGGTTTTTTTTAATCTTCACAGTTTGACTTCACACAAAATAAGGAAAGAAATTTGACTTTACTGTAGAGTACACTGTTGAGGCACTGTTTGACACTGTTTGGCACTGTAGAGACACTGTTTGGCACTGTTGAGACACTGTTTGGCACTATTGAGACACTGTTTGGCACTGTTATGGTGTAGATTTCTTTGCCAAAAAAGGAAATAAGGAAGTGTGAAGTTTATTTTAGACCGTCCCAAAAAGGAAAGTGTGAAGTTTATTAAAAACCGGAGGGAGTAATAGTTAAAATAATTAGGGATACTATATTTCAATAAACTGCCTTGCGAAAAGTAATAATTAAAATATTTTGAAATTTCTAGTATTACGTTATTAAAAGAGTAGTATGTTAATGCATTAATTAGAGGTAAAAGAAATTCACTAAAAAAAGAATAGTGCATTACAGTATTACGTTATTAAAGCATATGTTTAGAGAAGTACGGAGGCAGGTTATCGGATTAGAGAAGTACACTTAGTAAGGGTAATTTAGAGAAGTATATGATTATTAGTCACATTTTTGGAAATGAAAGAAATGAGATCTTTTTTGTCCATCACTTGTTTTTTAGTAATATTCATGTCAAAACCCCAAAAGTAAACCGAGAGTAATTGTGCTAACTTTTCCATTAATTCCTTTGTTACATTTTAAATATAATGAAGCAAAAATATATATGACCTTTGACAATATTATTATATTATATTTGACCTTAAATTTATTCCCACCATCTAATTTAATATTCAATATTTTGCATAAAATATAGTATGAATATTTGAAAGCGTACTCATCAAATTCTTATTTATCTTTTATTTCTTATCAATATTGTATTTACTTTCAATTTAGCTTTTATTATAATAGACATTTCAAAGAAATTTCAGTAATACTATACTTCGTATTAAGTATTAATAGAGATATTTGTAATTTCAGTCTCGTTAATTTCAATTGCCCATTATTTATTAATTTTGTAACTTTACTCACTGTTCAAATTCAATTGATGAGCAAAATTGCTTTGTTGGGGAATAGTCGATTGCAGAGAACTGTAAAGAAGAATTTGAAGAGATGGATGGCATGAAAAATGATTTGTGTTCTCAAGAACTCAAGGTGTTCAAGCAGGTTGGTTGGTTTTTGTACCTTATATTATTTGTCCCACACTGGAAAATTATAAAATAATAAAGTACCATGTAAAATTTTGGACGACATCTCATATCAGGTTGATCTTTTAAAATGAAATCTTATATTTTAACATGGTATCATAGACAAGTTCGGTTGTCATTTGATTGGTCTGTTTGACCAATTTATACACCCCTAATATTGTCTAACTCGGTTCGGGCTAAGGGAGTGTTAAAACTTAAAAGTATTTTTTCCACACTGAAAAGCTATATAATATATTATATAAGATTTAGAACTATTTTTCCTATCAGGTTGACATTTTAAGATGAAACATCATGTCTTAACGATCATTCTTTCCATAATGAATAAAACGTGGATATTAAGGACCCTACGACACAATCAATAATTCCCTCTTTCAATTCTAGTCACTATAATTATGTTGATATATATGATACATTAAAGTAACTTTAATACTATATCCTCGGAAAACTGCCGCAAGCTAAGGACCGTCCAAAAAGTTTTCTGTATTTTTAAAAAATCAGCAAGAAAACTTGTCGATGTTTTTTACATTACTTTATTAATTTGATTTTTTTCTGTAAAAGTTGTCACTTTCCAAAGTGAAATTCGATATTGTAATATTTAAGGAGAAATCTCTTATATGTATTTATTCAATTATTAAATAGAAATTGTTCAAAATAGAAGAAAAAAATTAAGATTTTTTTAAAATAGGAGTAAATATGTTTTCTTCCCATTCTTATTAGATTCTATTTAAAGATAACTATGGGAGTGATGAATCATATTTTGATACAATAACAAATTTACTCTTATTTGAGAAATCTCGCTATCTTTTAATCCTATTTAATTTATGGAACTTTCTATTGTGGTATTAAATCCTTTAGGTATTTGATGCATGCAGATGATAAGTAGAATCAATCCGGAACACGTTCTTAAACCCGTATGCGAATCACAGTTCATATTGTTAATGCTAACTTCCGGCGGTGTCAAATTTTCCAATAAAAGAACCACGAGATCACTGCGTGAGAAAAAACTAAATATGCAATGGTGTCGTGTAAGTTAATCAAATTAAACTAAATGCATACCCACAGCTCATAGTATTTATTAGTATTATTGTTGTTGTTGTTGTTGATGGTTTTGAACAAGACTAAAGATGTTTTCTGTTGGACTTTTTTCAGTCCCAGACCAGATCAGACCAGATCAGACTTAAACAGACCAGACCAGACCAGACCAGACTAGACCAGACTTGGACAGTTATAAAATACACAGAGACCAGACGTTTACCAGACCAGACTAGACCAGACCAGTTCAGACCAGACTAGGGCTATGTTTGGCACAATGGGCTGGAGCTGGAGGCTATTGTCTGAATTAAGGACTATTGTCTGAACAGGATACTATTGTCTGGAACTGAACTTTAAAGTGTTGAATCTGGATTACTAACTGAATGTAGTATACTCGTTTGGCAAAAAGAGCTGAAAAGTGTCCGGATAATGGGAAATTACGTTAAAGGGCATATTTATTAATGGGATAAAATATTTGTTATATTGATTTTTATATTTTTATACTCCATAAATATTACGGAGTAAGATTTTAGAATAAATAAATACTCCGTATATACGAAATATTATATATCTAATTCTTGGTGTAGGGTATCCCTTGCAAACAATCAAAAGGTATGGGTCCTGGGAGAGTGGGAGTAGCTTCCCTACCGAACCAATTTTAAAATCCTCCACAAATCGCCTCAAAGAGTCAAAGATCCCAAATCGAACCATCGAAATGCATATCTCTGAATCAATCCTTCTTCACTTTTCTCGATCAACTGCTTAACCAAGCAACGCGGCAGAAGCAAGACACCCTAGAAGCAGCAAAAAATGGAAATGTTAGGTAGAAGAAGGGATAAAATAATAAATTGATAAGTTCAGAAGCTTACCGGTCGTAGCTGGTCTCCTCTGCCAACGTTCCCTAGCTCGTCTGCCTCTATTCCATCACCGGAAACCTAATCTCGTCTCCAGAAGGTCCTGCAGCAAAGAAGAGGGCGAGAAAGAGGAGTTCGTTGGCCATGAAGATAAATCAGCGAGCGAGTTGATCAACTGATAGACGAACGATGGGAGGGGAGGATAATTTGGGAACGGAAGTATATTATTCAACCGTCTGAATATAAACGCTAGGATGAGAAACGTTCCAATTCAGCCCCAATATTTAAGATCCAGTCCACTTAAGCTCTTTTGCCAAACAGGATTAATCTCAAAATAATTGACTGATCTAAAAATATTTCAGCCTTTTTTGAGCTGATTTGGCTTGCCGAACATAGCCTAGACCAGACTTAAACAGACCACATCAGACCAGCAAATTTCAGTCCAAAAAAACATCCTAAATGTTTGATTTGTTTGAACTTACCTGCGATGTACGAATATCTTGTAAGGAATTCCATTTGTGTGTAGACAATTTGGTCAAAAAATGGTCTATGTCATCCAAATTTTGGAAAAACTATCAATACATGGACAAAATGTTAAGAACTGCCTTCTTATTATCACCGCAGGGTAAGTACCACGATCTCTCAACTTATTGGGCAAATGATATTAGTGTCCAAGAAGCACTACATGTTCGAAAGGTGCTCTCAAACCTCACCCTTTTATGTTTAAATCATACTCAAAGCGTGTTTGGTAACATTGTTATTTGGCTTATCAGACTTATCTGTCAACTTTTTCATCAAACACATAACTTTTTATTTCGCGCGCTGAAATGTGTAATAATATGAAAAAGTAAGGTCGAAGTTACTTTTCTGGCTATTTTGGTCGAAATTACTATCAATAAACTATATTTTAAATTTAATTTTTTCATAAATCAGCTGAATCGGTCAATACAGCCACTTAAGCCAGAACTTCATAAATTTCAGCAGGATCAGCCGATTCAGCCGATTTCAGTGTTACCAAACGGGCTCTCAGATTATTTTGAAGACATCTATCCAAAAGACTAACCAGATTTTACTATCAATTTATTTTATTGATGCCATTCATCTTTCAGGGATCCATCGAACAATGGGTGAGATGTAGATCGATTATTTTTCCGAGCGCCTATACGGTCACAACAGGAGATAGCAGACAATCAGGGGCGGACGTAGTGTATAATGAGGGTAAGCATAGGCTTCACCACAAAAAGCTTTCTCAGCCTATACGGATGTAGCATTGGTATATAATTTCTCCTAGGCTTCAGGTCAATGGTTCGAAACCCCTCTAAAGGCTTCACTTGATTTTGTTTTATACGGACTCAGTGCAATGATTTATTTTTGAAGCACCGGATGTGGCCAACTAACCTTACGGGCTCTGGAATCTGGATGGACTAGGCATCAAAAGTAAAAAATGTCCACCCTCTCTAAACACTAAATAAACCCAATAGGCAATTTTTTCAAAACGTGAAGACCAAGCAAGCAGCTTTAAGTTCCTGAATATATTGATTGTAAAAAAAAATCCTGAATATATAAATGACTACATCCTATTATAATTATTATCATTATTATTATTAAATCAACATGTCTACATTATATTGTATTATCTAATACTCCATATTTCAATTTTTTAAAATTTAAATCATGAAGTGTTATCTTAATTTTTGTTCTTATGAACGGACGAAATATCGATAATAAAATACTCTCTCCATCCTCCTAACTTTGTCCCGTTTTACCTTTTTCCCTCATCCCATTAAGTTTGTCTCATATCATATTTGGTAATGTTTGGGTGGTTACAGTTTATTCTTACTTTACTCACACTTTATTAATTCAATATCAACTACATAATTTCACTTTTTCTTAAAAGTTGTATCATATCCTCTTGTCCCAAACATGTGGGACGGGGGGTGCTATAACAATATAATGGTATACACTTATACATGTATATATGTCAAATACGTTAATTTGGTTGACATGAAATTATATAGCAATAAATAATTACGTAGTATGAATTTATTGCTTTTTACAGTGCACATTACATTTTTTATTCTAGTGTTCATATTTGTAATGATGTTTTTACTTTGAAATTTTATGTACATATAATGTTCATGTATAATTTTGTGCATACACTGACCCCCGATGCCTAGATCCGCCACTGTATCATGCAAATCTTAGTCGTAGAGGTTATGCTTCATTAATATTCAGGTACATGTGTTTTTTAATTAATACTCCATATTTATCAATGGCAACTAATTAGAGTTATATATGATCAATATGTAACTTTTATGTTGGAAATGTAAAACTATCTGGGCTAATTAAACAACTATGGAAGTTTGGAGTAATACTTATTGAATGATAATAACAATTATGAAATTGAATAGTGGTGATCACGACATGAAAGTGCCATTCCAATCAACTGAAGCATGGATTAAAGAATTAAATTACACTATCACAAAGGATTGGAGACCATGGATTGTAAATGATCAAATTGCCGGGTAATTTATAAATATCATCATTTGACGATGAAATTATTATTAGTTTTAAAGCTCTTTAATTGAACTATGGTATCAACGAACGCTAAACTAGGTACATTTTTGTTTTTGTGTGCTGATTTTTAGTTACACAAGGTCTTATTCCAATCAAATGACATTTGCAACCGTCAAGGTAAGTTGCTTTCAGAGATTCATTCTACATATTATTAATGATTCATTTGTTTTGAAATAAAATTACGTTTTTCTAGTTTAATTTAAATCAAGGGGTTCTATCATTCTAATGATTTTTTATATACTTTAATGTGGAATAGAATTTTCTCGTTTTAGATTAATGCATACATTTGTTATTCATATTACATACAGGGAGCAGGACATGTAGCTTTCGAGTATAAGCATCAGGAGTGTGCGGTTATGCTAACAAGATGGTTATCTCAGGAGCCTTTGTAGAAAGGTAGAGGAAAAAATGAGAACAAACAAATAAAGCGCACCGTAAAATGCGCATGTAATTAAACTGCTTCTATGTATAGTAGCTAGTACAATAGGTTTTAATGAAAAGGATGATACAAACTTAACTACCCATTAAACTAGAAAAAAAATGACATGTATATTGCTACTAGAATTTTTCCGTACAAAAATATGACTAGTTATGCTTTTGGACAAAAATGTGACTAGTCGTTGTGTACGAGTAATTTAACAATAGTCACTATAATATATTTAAGATTGATAAGTCACTGGTAAATTTTGAGTAACTGAGAAATAGTCACTCAGTGTGTCATTGTTTTTGGAAAATTTTAAAATAAGTCATATTTTTTATCTTTTGAATTTAATTTAGTAATATTGATGTTAAAAGGCCATTAAACTATGCGGCAACTACTTATTCCATTTACTTTTGGTTTGGTATTTCTAATTTTGTGGTAATTGGTTAAGAGCTTTTTCTTTAATATTAGTGAATTAGATATATCGACGAAAATACACCAAAAAAAATCCCCCATTATTCCATAATTCTTTCTCCCTTTTTGCTTGAAAATACAATAACAAAAGATGGAAAGTCATAGGGCTTGTTTGGAAAATGGTTGATAAACCAATATTTAACTTCTTTGATTGAAAATAGCTTATTGAATTGGTCAAACAACTAAAATATTTTTTTGATAAAATGATTGTATGATTTAGCTGATTGATACCAAAAAATGTAAAAGGGAAAACGTTGGGGATTGCCACCTTTGGCTCCTCTCTACAACGGCTTGTCCATTTATGTCCCTGAAATATTTGTAGACTTTTCCATTGAAACTTGAAAGGGCCACAGTTTACATGTGTGTATGAATCGTACAATGCTTCCTTCATTGCATTGTCATTACTAGATTCTCACCCGCGCGATGCGTGGGATATTAAAATGTAATAGCGATGCGACAATATTTGATAAAATTACTCGGTCGTGTTAAATGTATGGAAATTGTTATAGACGTGACATGCAGAAAAAATCATAATTAAAGATCGGATAGTGAGAACTCAAAAATAGGTAGTAGTATGTTTTAGAATAAGTAGATAAAAGTAAATGATATATAGGGCTTCGCAATCTACACATTGCGAAACATTTCCTTATAAACTACATTGGTGGTATGGTCAGTTGACTGACCATCTTCACCGCAGATCAATATCTTCAAACCCTTGTGATTTGTTACCCTTGACACTGCAACATACAGTTGACCATGCGTGAAGACCGATTTCTTCAATAAGAGTCCAACATGGGACAAAGATTGTATCTGACTCTTTTTTTTTTTTTTTGATATTAGATTTTAAGTAGCCACCACAAAGCTCAGCTACCTTTATAGTAGTTAAGCTTAACCTTCGGATACCTCTTATCTGACTCTTATTTATAGTCATTGCATAAGAGGTCATGACTGGAAACTGTCTTCTCTGAAACTTGAACGGTATTTTTGTATCCGAAGGAGTTAAGCTTAACCTCGGAATGACAACCTCATGCACGGCATATTTTCCGCCCATTATTTTTGCCCCTAGGATATGATTTCCAAGTCGCGTAACAATTAACCTTGTTCCATTGCAAAGCCCCATTGAAGGATCAATATTCCTTACAAGCATGATTGGAGTACCAACCTTTAGGGTTAACTCATGGTTTGGAACTCCGGATGCACGTATTTTGTTCAGAAATTCTGGAGTGTGCAAATCAGCCAGAAAATCGGCATTGGAGTCTGACTTGCAAATGCTATCTGAACTTAAATATGTCCTTGACTCTTCACTAATATTCAAAGATGTCATGTATTCGTTAATTGCATCCACGACATCAAGGGTTGGAGCTAGAATTGCACGCTCTTGCAAGTAAGATGGGTCATTGACAATTTTTTCAATGTCTGGATAGGTGCTTTGAACAATAGTGGAAATGGGGTCGCCACCACACTGTAAAAAAAGGTGACTTGGAATTTGGACATTGGCAAAGCCGTCATTATCTTCTCCCGCAGTCCCGTCTCCCAAACTCGCAATCCACTTTGCAAACTCTACCAAATCTTCATATTCACGATCATTGGTCAATGATTGCAACCTCATGTTCTTCGTCAAACGCAATACAATGCATTCACGCCAAATATAGGAAGAATTAATAGTTGCATTGACGATGTCTTGTCTAGTACCTTTGGTTACAACTGGTAAAATCTGTCTGAAGTCTCCACCGAATACAACCATTTTCCCTCCAAACGGCTTTTCAGCACTATTTGAATTAGTGAATCTCAGGATGTCCCTCAAACATCTATATAAGGCTTCGAAGCAATATTTGTGCATCATCGGCGCCTCATCCCATATGATGAGTTTGCAACGAATTATCAATTGCGCTAGTGGACTTCCTTGTTTGATGTTGCATGTGGAGTTCTCATTTGGGTTGATCGGTATGGCAAAGCGTGAATGAGCCGTCCTACCACCTGGTAACAGTAAAGCTGCTATGCCACTCGAAGCAACCTTCAAAACAATTTCCCCCTTTAACCTCAAAGCAGCTAACAACGTTTTCCACACAAACGTTTTCCCCGTACCCCATAACCATATACAAAGAATACCCCACCATTATTTTCTTCATTACATTGCATAATGGTTGTGTAGACCTGATGTTGTTGATCATTGAGACTCTGTATGCATTTGTCATGCTCTTCACGTAAGGCAACACGATCATGCATTTGCCACCTTTGGCTCCTCTCTACAACGACTTGTCCATTTATGTTCCTGAAATATTCGTAGACTTTTCCATTGAAACTTGAAAGGGCCACAGTTTACATGTGTGTATGAATCGTACAATGCTTCCTTCATTGAATTGTCATTATATTTGTTGGGCCCAAGAATTTTAATTAGAAATTGGGCCACCGGTAGATAAATGAGTGAACCAGTCCAGAAGGTAGCAATAAGCGTATTGGGTAAAGTTAAAGGAAGAATCCAAGAGCAAGTCAAAGGAGGTGGTTGCACGTAGAGGAAAAATAGGCGGATTATTGCTAAACTTGGGGAAGGAGTATGATTATACCTGGCGCCCACATGCTCCACCATCGGCCAGAACCCACCAGATCACAGAAAGTAACTTAGAAGCCTTGGAGCAGACTTGGTTTCCCTTCAGTTGTTCTTCCGTCGGCCAGGCCCCTCGTCGACCATAACTACATCAGTTGGCAGTATCTTGTGCATTTTATACCTAGCTCTAGAAATCGTGTAATCAGCCCATATTAGAGGCCTTATATTGTACCGGGCCTCCCAGGAGCCCAACCCACATTTCCTCTATATATACTCCCATATGGGGTAGTTGACTAGTTGTTGGGGTCAAGAAATATTAATTACTAGCACTTTCTCTCTAGATCTATACTCTATCGATAATCAATATTATCTATAAACTAGTATTCGATACTTCGATACATCAACAACAACAACATCCAAGCCTTAGTCCCAAAAGATACTGGGGTCGGCTAACATGAATCGATACATGATATCACTATCGAAAGGAAAAGAAAGAAAATAAAGAAAGATAAGCTATTATGACAAGGATAATACAAAAAGAGATGAATATACCTAAAACTGATAAAATAAAAAGGATAAAAATAATGTTTATATATATAAGGATAAAAGGATAAAAAACAAAAAGAAAAAAAGATGAGGGGAAAAGATAATACGAGATCACTCCACCACACGGATACCCGCCCTCCACTTTGCTCTCTCTAAAGACATACCCTCATCCAACCCAAGAAGAAGCATATCACTTTGGACTCCCCTAACCCACGTTTGTTTGGGCCTTCCTCTCTCTCTCTCTCTCTCTCTCTCTCTCTCTCTCTCTCTCTCTCTCTCCCTCTCTCTCTCTCTCTCTTCCCTGCCTCTTCTCCACACATCTCAACTCGTCTGACAAGTGCATCACTCGCTCTTCTACGCCCATGACCAAACCACCAGAGGCGCGACTCCTACATATTGTCTTCAATATGTGCTACTCTCACTCTTTGTCTGATTGTCTCATTCCTCACGTGGTCCTTCCTAGTATGCCCACACATCCAACGCAGCATGCGCATCTCCGCCACACTCATCTTTTGAATGTGACATTGTTTCACCGCCCAACACTCTGCGCCATACAGTAATGCAGGCCTAATTGCTATCCTATAAAATTTACCCTTAACTCTATTCAGCATACCTCTATCACATAGAAATCCTGACGCACTCTTCCACTTCATCCACCCTGTTTTGATTCTATGGGATACATCTCCATCTAACTCACTGTCCTTCTGAATTATGGAGCCCAAGTAACGGAACATATCGCTGACCAATATCTCCTTACCATCTAGAGTAATCCCGCTATTACCACTGCTTCTACCTCCACCGAAATTACACTCCATGTACTTTGTGTTGTTCCGACTTAGTCTGAAACCCTTGTTCTCCAATGTTTCTCGCCATACTTCCAACTTTGCTTTAAATCCTGATTGCGTCTCATCAAGCAATACAATATTGTCGGCAAACATCATGCACCACGATATTTCGTCTTGAATTGACTTCATAAGTTCATCCATGACTATGGCAAATAAGAAAGGGCTCAGAGCTGATCCTTGGTGCACTCCGATGGCAATAGGGAACTCTGCAGTCCTCCCTACACTGGTACAGACACTTGTAGTGCAATCCTCATACATAACCATGATGATGTTGATATATTTGCATGACATGTCTTTTCTAGTTAAGGCCCACCAAAGAACTTCTCAAGGTACCCTATAATAAACCTTTTCTGAGTCAATGAACACCAAATGCATATCCTTGTGAGCATCTTTATACTTCTCCATAAGTTGTTGAAGAAGGTCAATGGCCTCAGTTGTTGAGCTACCATGCATAAAACCGAATTGAATCTCTAAAATCTTCACGGTTCTCCGAAGTCTTTGCTCAATCACTCGCTCCCAGAGTTTCATGGTGTGACTCATAATCTTAATCCCTCGATAGTTGACACATTCTTGTAGATCACTTTTATTCTTGAATAAGGGGATAAGAGTACTCTCCCTCCAACTCGTTGGCGTCTTGTTGTTTCTCCAAATCATGTTGAAGTAACTTGTTTACCACTTGACGCCTCTCTCTCCCAAACTTCTCCAAGCCTTGATCGGTATGCCATCTGGACTCACTACTTTCTTCCGCCCCATCTTACTCAGAACCTCTTTAACTTCCGTTGTTTGGATCCTTCTCACAAAATCACGATTTACCATACAATCTAGTATGGTCAAATCATCGATATCTTGCGCTTTGTTCCCGTTGAATAGTGTATCAAAGTATGACCTCCACCTCTCTTTTATCTCCCTGTTCTCCTTTTTTTCGCCCGAGAACCACCCAAAGTTGGGTGTGATAAATGTCGGGTAACATTTGCCAAAATTTTATTAAAAATGGATGAAAATTACAGAATGTTCAGAATCGAAATTGTGCGGAAGAGAAACTAAACGTGTTTCCTGTGAAAGCATATATAATGGAAAATTCTAAAGGGGTCCAAATGGGCTGCATAATGGGTCCTGGGGTCCATGTAGAGAAAGGTAGCGTCCAAATAAAAGAGAATAAGTGCTGGCGGAACATAATAGTCCAAATATTCTGCATATCAGTGTTGAGACCTAAAGTTCCTGAAGAGTGATTCGAGAGAGTTCATCGACACTGAAGGGGGTCGTCTCTCTTGATAGAAGATCCGTCCATTCTCCCCGTCCTCCATTAGTACCCTTTGATCGACATCCTTCACACACTTAACTTTTCTGATATCTTGAGTCTGTAAATATCTTTTTCTCCTTCCTTAGAGTCCAATTTTGCATACAATTCTTTGTTCACTTTTCCTCTTGCTTCCTTTACAGCTTTGCTTGCCCTTCTTCTAGCTTTTTTGTACTCTTCTATTGTTTCCCTTTTTCTTATAGCATTGCCTTTTGATCCTTATTGTTTGTTTTACATCATCATTCCACCAAGATGTGTCCTTTTTTTGTGGTAGACATCCTTTAGATTCACCAAGTATCTTTTTCGCCACTTGTTAAAGGCGCGAACCGGGCCCGCCCAGAACCGGTCCACCACTACATCTATCCAACTTGTAACCGTAGCCATTGCCCATTCAAGAGAGTCTATCGCTTGCTCGCCATAAGATTAACTCAGACAACGTCGTTTGCTGGCCATCCTGTCATATATGTGGTCGCTCGACGCTAAGCCGCTCACCACTGCTAATCAACCACTTTGACGGATAGATCCCGTGCACCAACAACAAAGAAGATGATGACTAAGAGGGACAATGGCGAAGAATGAGACAGCTATGAATTAGAGGATGAGAAGTAAATAATAAGATGACTATAAAAGGCTCATTGCTACATTGGAGAGGTCGATTTGCTGAAGGTTGAACCCGAAGTTGACTACAACATAAATGATGTGTGACAACGGAGCAGCGGCCTAGGACGGTGAGGTAAAGCAGTAGCTTAGGATAGCGAGGCTCAAACTGGAAATGATGACCGTTGGAGGTAAAAGAATAAAATTTAGGGAATTCATACTAGAGTATTGTAGTCTATTCATTCTTATTTTAGTTTTAGTTATACTTTTTGTCCTTATTAAGACTTTGTCATAAATATTTTGGTCCATAATAAGTTAAAACTTAAAAGTATTATATATGCTATTATTTCTAAAACATATTCATTTGACTTGCCAATTTAAGCTTTCTCTGATGCGAGTAGTTATGTGGACTCATGTGACTCCCTTATGAGGTCATATGCGGTATTATGACATAAAAATAATGACTTATTATTTTAGTGGGGGAGTCCCACTAAAAAACGAGTGATTATTGTTATGCCACAAGCTCATAACACCTCATATGACATTATGACACCATAACGGAGTCATATAAGTCTCCTTGAAATTTTTATCATTTATAGTTTTATACTAAGAACTGAGAGAAGCACATGAAAGACAATGAACAATAATCCGGAAAGTCCTAACTCCATCTGTCAAAACTCAAGCCCTCCTAATGAAATACGAGTATAAAATAAAGTATGTATTCACAGTGGCGTATCCAGGATATTCAGCCAGCGGGGGCAAATTTACATTAACGGTATCACACATAATTAAAAAATAAATATTAATTAAAAATTTGACAATTGATTAAAAATAAAACAGTTTTTTTATAAGAAACAAATGAAATATGTAATTATATGTTTATAATTAATTTAAGTTACAAATAAACAAGTGTGTTTTAATACTAAGTGCAAAAAGATGTGATTGAAATTACATATAATTTATTAGTTACATTAAAATAAATTATTTTAAAACTAATTTGGATATTAGGTTTAGACATTCTATTGTTTATTTAAATACAAAACCAGAAATATATAAGAAATGGATGAAATATGTAATTAAAAGTGATTTAAGTTACAAATAAACATGTTTTAATATTAATCAAGTGTGAAAATATGTTATTGAAATTCCATATCATTTATTAGCTACATTAAAAAATTAATTTGAATTTTATATTTGGAAAAACATAATTTAAACAGTTTCAAGACAGCATAAAAATAAAACAAAGTGGAGTTGTTTTAAGAAATGGATGAAATATGTAATTAAAAGTGATTTAAGTTACAAATAAACATGTTTTAATATTAATCAAGTGTGAAAATATGTTATTGAAATTCCATATCATTTATTAGCTACATTAAAAAATTAATTTGAATTTTATATTTGGACAAACTTAATTTAAACAGTTTCAAGAAAGCATAAAAATAAAACAAAGTGGAGTTGCCAAGGGGATTCAAACCCTTGACACTTAAGAAGAGTGCGTGCCACTCCATCCGCTTGGCTGCTGTGCTAGATTGTTCTAGTAGTGTTTTAGTGAATACTTATACTATGTATAATACAATGATATATGTATACAAATAAAATTTGAAATATATATATCATGGGGTTGGGTGGGGGTTGAGTGGGGGCAGCTGCCCCCCCTGCCCCCATAGTAGATACGCCCCTGTGTATTCATGTGGTGGGGTAATGGAGAGCACAAATATAGTGCAAAGACAATTGAAACCAAACTTAACATGCATCTATTAGCAGTGGCGGAACCAGAACTATTTCGAAGGAGGTGCTGAAAAATAAAGAGAAAAGAAATAAATTTACCTTGGATTTTGCGTATGAGAGCAAATATACTCTCCAATTTCAGTTTGACGCAAATAAAAGCATATCACTATACCACTTGACTATATATATAATAATATATGCGGTGAGAGTTCAAATAAAAAGTCTTAACATCCAAATGGTTAATTTGATGCATAATAACCCAATTTAATGCATTTTCAAAGAAACCTTAAATTATTTGATGCACTTTTCAAAAACTGAGTCAAATAAGATTTATTTAAAAAGTGCATCAGATAAAAATATTGTGCATCATATACTATTTGTTCAAAATGGTATATATGTTCTTACACAGCTTGTCCAAATGAAGTTTTTTTTTTTGGAAAATTTGTACAAATAAGTTAATTGTTCTCTAAATACATACAGTTCAAGAGTTTATTTGAAATTTCTCTAAAAAATATATGAAGTCTCAAACAAAGTAAATTAACTACTACCAAAATTAAATGCATTCTTTGTACACGTCTTTAAAAAAGAATCAAAACCAAAACATATTATATTTACATACCCTAAATTAGCCATATCATTGGAATCGAATCACACATGAGAATATTTTGTCCTATTATTTCTTTATTATTAGAAGTCACTACGTGGTGTGTATTAAGAATCACCCATGATCTTACAAATTATAAATAATAAAATCATACTATCAATATACATAAATTCACTAATTTCCAATCAAATAACGTAACAGATAGTCAAGTAGCCCTAGCTTGTGATATGAATGGCCTTACAGGTTTTTTTAAAAGGCTGCCTTATAGGTTACAACGTAACCCTTTATTTTTTTATTTTTTATTTACTACTCCGTATATAGTATATATATCATTGTTCTAAAAATCGGCCTAGTCGGACCGATTAATCGGACTAAGCGGCCTAGTCGGCCTTAACCGTAGAGGCCTAATCGGCCCAGTCGGCCAAAAAAATTGGCCTAGTCGGCCGTCTAGGCGCTAAAAGCATCTCAACCGCCCGACTAGCGCTTAGCGAGTTTTAGAACAATGATATATATTATTAATAATTAAAATAAAATTTACACTCTGTAGCATAATTTTTATGGCAGTCCATAAAAAAAGGCAGTACATTGACTGTAGCAAATTAACCAGACACATGCATTAGATGACCATATCACATTAACCATCCTAATTTCTAAAAATAAAGAAACATAAGTAATTACTACGTAAGTTATATACTCCGTATAAACTACTCTGTAAAAGTTTAAGGTTCAAGCCACTCAGGCATAATCAGGGTTATGGTCTTATGGATATGCACAATTTGGCAACTGGGCCGGCCAAAATGTATCTCTATTAGTACGGATACGGAGTTGGTCAATATTCAAAAGTCAGACTGGCATAGGGCATAAGTATTACTCTATGTCGTTTAGTTATACATTGTTGTCGTTTAAGTTATTTTTATTACTTATCAAAGCGGGGTCGTTTCGCTAAATGAAAAAACACACAGACTGCATCTATCGCTCCTTTCTGCAGCCGGTGCGTAGAGAATAGGGCCGGCGAACCAGAGAAGAAGACGGCCGTTGACCGGTACCAGGGGCGCGAAGCAAATAACACATATATATACCTTAACTATTCCGGCGAAGGGGGAGCGCCGGCACCGGCTCGCCCCCTCAAGTTTCGCCACTATCTATTAGAGATCCGTGATCTTTTTAATAGTCATCGGGAAGATCAATAAGAGTGTTTTTAATATGTCATCAGATTAAACTCAAATAGACAAATAAACCAGAGCAAATCAAATTTAGACAATAGCATAATACTGCGTATACACAAGAGTGACGACATTTAGTAGATCATACCTTGTCCGGTAACATCCGTATCTCTCATGAAAGAGTAAATAAAGCTCAAATTAACATTCCAAAAAATTCAAGTCAAATTTCAAGTGAATACTAATTTAATAATTGGATATTAATTAAAAGTTCAAAATACATCGTGGAACGAGGTGCGGCAAGCGGACAGATTTAAGTCATCGCAAGTAAACCATACCTTATCCTGTAACATGCATAGCCTTTAAATAATTAAAAGACTCACACTGCAGAAAATTTATTGCAGAATTAACTAAAGGACATTGGGGATATATGATATATATAGATTCTACAATACAATATAATATAATTACAGGTTGTTTGTAGTTGGGAAGGCAATGAAGAAATATTCTTGCACTCTGCGACTGCTCCTTGTTGTGGTGGGTGTTGTTTTATGTCATCATATAAATGTTGTTTCAGCAGCTGGCAATGATAAGGATGAAGATGATCTCTCAAGAGTCGAGTTCCTTCCCGGCTTTAATGGCCGCCTTCCTTTTGAACTCTTCACCGGGTGATTCATATTTCTCCCATAACCGTTTCTTTAACTTACTAGCTGTTACACCCATGCTTATCTCCAGATAATAATTTTGCAATATATAATTTGTTTTCTTTCCCTTATTTTGCAATTCCAATGACATACAAATTTAATTTTTAAATGTCTATGAAGGGCAAATTGTGATAGAATTGATGCTTCGTTTTTACTTTTTACCCTGCAAAATAATTGAATCAACTTTGTACATCACCCGGTGCAAAGCTAAAGAAATCAATCTAAGGAGGCGTTTGGTATGATGTAAAATAATTACTTTGAATGTGAAGTGTAAGGACGTAAAATGTTTACACTGTTTGGTTTGATTATTTAATGTAAATTGTAGGGTACTTTTTTAAAACATTTCGCACTGTACCATGCAAAGTATTTTACGTGGGGAGAGGATGGCAAAATACTTTTTTTTACTCTAGGGGGTCTGGGGGAGCCTGGAGTAATCAGGGCTGAAACTCACTCCATTGAGTTTCAAACCTTTATGTGCCTAGCGGGTGGTAAAATACTTTGCACGCCTTTTATGAAGCACTGCAACAACTTTGCGTGCAATTTAAAAATAAATTACACATCTAGTCAAACAATGTAATCTATTTTACATGCAAAATAATTGCTTCCCTATACTTTGCATGCAATCACTTCACATGCAAAGATTTAACATGTAAACTACCAAACGAGCCCTAAAGTTAAATTTTGTGGGTTTTAATCGTTTCAACACTTTAATCACATATATATTTTATTTATCAATGTATTTAATGATCATAAATGCCGTAAAATACTCCATCATCATCATTACCCCAGTACCGCAAAGGTTTCCACCTACAATGGGGTAAGGGGAGTCAGATTTACGCAGCCTTACCTCTGTACTAATAAAAAACACAGAGAGACGGTTCTGGATGATCCATATAAATGATCTTTTTAAAAATACTAAAAATTATGTCTTTTTCAAAAATATTATAACTAAAATCATTATACAAAATCTAGTATCATTGACCAAGAGTAGTCAATTTCACCAATTTTTATGTGACGGTGAGAGTTTATTATAGTAAGGAAAAGTTTGGAAATTTTCCGAAATAGAGCAGAGTAAAATATGGGTATGCTTCTTTTACCAAAATATACAAAACAAGTGTTATCTGGAGAAGGTTTTCATCAGTCTATTAAACTTAAAGTCTTAAACTATGGTGAATGTAGGTATATCGGGGTGTCTGAAAATGAGGAAGTGCAGCTGTTTTACTACTTTATTAAATCAGAATCAAACTCAAAGGAAGATCCTCTGATTCTCTGGCTCAGTGGGGGTCCTGGCTGTTCCTCTCTCACTGCATTCATGTATGAACTTGGTATGTGTGCATATATCTTACGCCAATTGTATCCAAATCCAAAAATTTAGATTCAAGTCAAACTGTGAGCAATTTCTAAGGAACAATATTTTACATTGTATAATGAGTATTTTCTTATATTCTAGGATCTCGTCAAAGTAGAATTTCAAGTATTGTTGATTTGAAAAGAATATACGGAGTACTACATATGTGAATCGTAACTGTATTCTATTTGATTGGTTCGAGTCGTTATTCATTGTCTATTTATGTGGTTTAAATCATTCAATTGCAATGTTCAATTGGTTCTCATATACGGAGTATGTGGTAAACCATAAGGGAATCATGAAGTTTGCCTATAAAAATTGTAGTGTCTTGAGAATGGTGGACAAAATGGTTGATATAAAATAAAATAGTGACCATATACTACCTCCGTTCTCTTTTAGTTGCAACATTGGACTTTTTGCACTATTCACATGTTCTACTTTGACTACATTTTATTAATTGATGTATAATAAATTAAATTTTTAAAAAATATTGTTAAATTCTTCTCATTCTAAATTTTCAAAATATGAATTTTTTAATTTTTTTACTAATAAGGAATTAAAGATATTGATGGTCAAACTTGTGCGTTGGCAAACGTGAAATGTTGACTGTTGCAATTAAAAAGGAACGGAGGAAGTATATGACTAATATAAAGATGATAGACAAGAATATCACTTTTTATGTCAAATGATTATTTAGTACTCCCTCCGTCCCATTTATATTGTCCCGTTTTACCTTTTCGGGAAGTCTCACTTAAATTGTCCCATATCATATTTGACAAAGTTTGTGTGGCTCTAAATCATTCTTACTTTGTTTTTACTTTATCAATTAACATCAACCACACAAACCCACTTTTCTTAATAACCGTGCCACCCTCTTCTGTCCCAATATAAATGGGCCAGAGGTAGTAATTTTTATTGATGGTAATTATGTTCAATTTGACAGTGCAATGATCATAAAGTTACTCCCTCCGTCCCGAAATTATCTTCATTCTTTCCTCTTCGGTCCGTCCCGAATTTATCTCCTCTTTCCCCTTTTGGCAAAGGATTTGTGGTTCACAATCATTCTTACACATTTCTCTCTCCCCTGCACAAATCTCCACCACACATTTCCCACTATCTTAATCCTTGTGCCCAGTCAAAACCGAAGTTAATTCTGGGACGGAGAGAGTATATACTAGCAATTTTTATTTAGTTCAGTAATACTTACAAAACAATTAAAAACATGGAGTGTCGTACAACATTGATGTAGAGCCTGTTTGGTAGCACAAAAATCGGCTGTTGTTTTGGCTGTTTCTGCTGAAATTTTTGAAGTTCTGGCTGAAGTGGTTGCATTGGTTGATTCTGCTGATATAAGAAAATATTATTTTTAAAATATATTTTATTAATAAAATAAAGAAAAAAGTACTACGTATATGTAAAAAAAGCTAAAATGGTCATTTGCAGTAACTTCAGCCAATATAGCCAGAAAAGTAACTTCAACCTTACCTTTTCTGCTTATTACACAATTCAGCGCGCGAAAGAAAAAATTACGTGTTTGGTTAAGAAGTTGGCTGATCGATAAGTCTGATAAGCCGACAAACGGTGTTGCCAAACGACCTTGTAATGTGCATTTTAGTGAAATTTGTTGTATGCTCCCTATACAGTTTTGGAAACTATATACGTACAAATGTACAATAGTGTAAAAAGGTGCAACCGGTAACATAGACACGCTTTTATATTCCGTTTCAAAATATTTGTCCTACTTTCATTTTCGACCCGTTTCAAAATTGTATATTGAGTACTCATTACACCTACTTTTTCAAGCTAGAAAAGGACTTACTACCTCCGTTCCAAATTGATTTGCAAATTTGACTTTTCTTGGTCAAACAGTTTTATTTTATTCGCTTAATTAGGATGTCAATTTTTAATTATATTCTAATTTGGAGTTTGCAACTTTGAAGAGATTTTAATGTAGTTTCTGAATATGTAAATTTTAATTATTAAAAATTGAATTAATTATCAATACGGAGCATTGACTTTTATTATTGTTTAACCAAAAAATGTTGACTTTGCAAAACAATTTGGGACGGAGGAAGTATCTAAATAGTAAAATGTAAATGCTTAGCCTTTTAGAGATACCTCATTTTGGTACCTCATTTGTACGTACTCCCTATTTGTGTGGTTCGTAAAAGGAAATTCATAATAGTGAGACAATTAATTTATAGATGCTCTTTTGTGAACCACACAAATAGTGAGCTACAAATGGGGTACAATGGTACAACAAGAATGACTCTTATTTGTGAGAGTCTGACTCTAGACGTCTCGTGTAGACCTTAATTTGGAATATGGCTCCAAATTTTAGGACCGTTAGAGTTCAAGGTGGAAGAGTACAACGGAAGTCTACCCACGTTGCTTCTTGCTCCACATTCCATGTCCAAGGTACAACACCATCCATCAATCTCAACATACACATTCTAAGATAGGTATACTCCATATAATTTTGAAAAATTATTGAAAACGAAGTATTCCTGGAATAGTAGTAAAATTGTAGAATTTCAAAATACAGATATTAGAAGTAGCATATTGACATCTTACATTTGATATTACCTGACTTTAGTGTGTTATATTATCCAATATCCATACATTACTTAAGAGAATAAAACTTATATTTTGAAATGAAAGTATAGTACCAATTTGACTTTACTCGTAGTAGTTTCCACCGTGATGAAGGTACATGACTGGACATGAAGGAATGAAGTATTCTTAATTATTCTTACTACGAGTACATCACTACATGACCGTACTTGATATATACACAATTGTAATTAATTGGCCCACAAATTATGACATTTTGTCCACAATTCCACACCATGCTGGATTATTCTAGAATCCTCTCAAGTACCTGAGAAAGTGGAACTAAAAAATGAGATAGGGTAAAAGCAAGGTGGTGCGTGTGGATAGTTAGAGCATCTCCAATGCTTTTGGTGTGTTGGAGATGATTTGTCATCCAAATGGAAAGAGTCTACTTTCTTCTTGGATGATTTGTCATCCAAGGTCTATCAGTGGACTTTGTGCAAGACTTTGGTTTTTCTCTCTTTTGCCAAACTCAACTTAATTGACCCTCTCCATTTTTTTGTTGCATTGAATAACACATTTACTAAATGGGAGTGTATTTGGTGAGATGGAGTTGCAATCCTCCCCTTCATTAAAGATGCCCTTAATTAAAGAGAGATAAAGAATGAAATGAGGAGAAGGTTAGATGGAGTCATGGAGAGCAGTTGAAAACAAGTAATCGAGTAACAGGGATATACTAGCAAAAGGTTATACTTTTTGTTGAGATACTGGTAGAGTCGAAGAACTAAAAATTGAAAAATTGAAAATTGAGTCACAAAAGTTTAATTTCACCAACACGAAAGTAACAGAAACTGTCACAAACGGAGTATTAACTTTATGCATGTTTTTTTACCAGGGCTTTATGCATGGATAAGAGATTGATGAGTTAATTAAAACGGTTCTAGCTAGAATTGACTTAACTGTGGATTTTGGGTGTGACCGTTGCCCTTGAATAGACCACCATGTACTTAGAAAGCTGGAATCTGGAAAAAGTCAAAACATTATTGAAAGCAACCATTTCAATTACTGGACAGAATTAAATTTACATTGTTAAATTTGAGACATTGTTTTTTTTAAAAAAAAAAATAATTTTAGGTGGCAAACGTTCTATTTTTGGATCAACCAGCGAATACAGGATTTTCATATGCCACAACTCCAAATGCCGCCCGTTTTACTGATTTGGAAGCGTGCAACCATGTCTATGACTTTTTGCAAAAGGTACTATCTCGGTTCATTTTTACATGTCACCTAAATTATTGTTTTCTAGACTTTCTAGTCTAATACGGAGTATACTACGTAGTATATGTTTGATATTAAAGGGAAGGCAGAGGTGACGGCCATTTGTCCGAATCTTAAGAGTGAATTATAGAGAACTGGAAGAGTAATTATAAATGAGAAGAAGGGGAGGGCTGGGCTTGAGTAGAAGAACAAAGAAGGGGGAGTGGGATAAAGCTATGTAGCACGGAAACACTCGGGAAAGAGTACGTTTCCCGTTTCGAAAACTCTCGAAAACTCTTTGGAAACTCTCCGAATAAGCCTTTTTTGAGTAGAAGTTGACATTTCTCGTTTCCCGTTTCGTCATGATTTTCGCGTTTCCGTGCAACATAGCGATAAAGAAAAGAAGGGGAAAATACCCAAATATTACAGTACTAAAATTTACTACGTATTAGTTTTCCTAGAAAATGACCATTAATGTTTTTTATGTCTCGTATGACTTAAATCATTACTAAATACATGGACATTCCAATTATTAGCCACGTTAAGTATTTCATTTCCTACTTATTAGGGATTAAAATGAATGGAATACTTCAAGTTGCATAAAAATAAGAAGAATGATGCGAAAGGCTATACGGTTATGACTGAAAAATACGGATAGATACTAACACATGCACAGATGGATAATAGCATTCTGGTAAAATAACATAAGCAGTCATATTTTAGGAAAACTCATTAGTTTTAGTATTATTGGTGGTAATTCTCTCAAGTAAATTAAAGAAAGCAGGGGAGTGGCGTTTCGCTTGTACAGAAGAAGAAAGAAGTAAAGTAAAATGAGAACATATGGAGTCAATTTTGCCTTGCTCTATTCAACCGTATGTGTCCAATATATATACAACCAAGTGTCCTTAAATATCTCCTCTAAATAAGCTAATTTGCTAACTATAAAGATGCCTATGATATGCTACGGTTTACAGTTTATATATGGAATAGATTTGTAGTATATTGTAGAAGAAATAAACTAAAATATGTACAAAATATATTCCCCTAATACCCCCTCAAGTAGGAGCATGAAGATTGTGAATGCCCAACTTGGCAAGTAAGAAATGGAAAGATCGACGACCAAGGGCCTTTGTCAGAATATCAGCCAACTGCAAAGAAGTAGGGGTATAAACAGGAGCAATTGTATGACGGATAATTTCATCACGAACAAAATGACAGTCGATCTCGATGTGTTTAGTACGCTCGTGAAAGACAAGATTATTGGAGATATGTATCGCCGCTTGACTGTCACAATGCAAGGAAACAGGTGAGGAATGTGAAATACCCAAGCATTGTAATAAACCTTTCAACCACAGGATTTCACAAGTTGCAGAAGCCATTGCCCTATATTCCGCCTCGGCAGACGAACGTGATACGGTGGCTTGCTTCTTTGTTTTCCATGAAATATGAGAACCCCCAAGGAACACAAAATAGGCAGTAAGAGAACGTCTACTCAAGGGATAGCTGGCCCAATCAGCATCACAGTAAGCACGCAAAGAAAGCTCGGAATCAGCTCTCAATAAAATACCTTGTCCAGGACTAGACTTCAAGTAACGAACAACACGAAGCGCCGAATCCCACTGAGACCGGGTCGGATGCTGCATAAATTGGGACAAAATGTGAACTGAATAACATAAATCGGGTCGAGTAATAGTCAAGTAAATTAACCGACCAACAAGTCGTCTATATTTGGCGGGATCATCCAACGGTTCATCGGAAGCAAGAGCTAAAGAATGATTTTCTTCCATAGGAATACTGGCGGGTTTGGCGCCCAGAAGCCCTGTCTCAGATAAAATATCCAACGCATATTTTCGTTGACATAGAAAAATGCCTGCGGAGCTTCGGGCAACTTCTAGGCCAAGGAAAAATTTAAGCTTGCCCAAATCTTTCATATGAAAACATGTACCGAGATAAGTTTTGAATTTAACGATAGAATCACTATCATTACCAGCAATGACAAGATCATCAACATAAATAAGAATACTCATCGAAATGGGACCGCGGCGGTAAACAAACAAAGAATGATCATAATTGCTATTTTGAAAACCATAAGAGCGCAAAGCCGAGGCCAATTTAGCATACCAACATCGAGGAGCTTGGCGAAGCCCATATAAGGACTTACGAAGACGACAAACTTTTCCCGGAGGACCAATGCTAAAACCAGGAGGAAACTTCATATACACTTCTTCATCAAGATCACCATGAAGAAAAGCGTTATGGACATCCATTTGATGCAATTTCCAGTTCATAGATGCAGCCACAACAAGAAAGGTACGTACCGTGACCATCTTGACTGTTGGAGCAAAGGTTTCCATAAAATCGACACCTTCTACTTGATGGTTGCCAAAAACAACTAAGCGAGCTTTATATCGTTCAATTGTGCCGTCAGACTTATATTTAATGCGGTAAACCCACATACAACCAAGAGCAGATTTTCCGGGTGGCAAGTCTTCAATAGTCCATGTGTGATTATCCTCCAAAGCACGCACTTCATCCTGCATAGCTTGATGCCATTGTGTATCACGTATGGCTTCCTTAAAAGAGGCAGGTTCCATATGGGTTGTAATAGCTGCAAGAAATTTACGATGGGCAATAGAAAAAGTATTACAATTCACAAACTGTGTAATAGGATATCACGTACCTGAGGACGAAGAGATAGGTGCGGGTGGAGCATCAATGGAGGAAGCTTGAGCAGTATAAGTGACAAAATCTTGGAGACGGACATTAGGAACCTTCTGCCGGTGTCCACGACCAAGAACTGCAGAATCATCTATAACATTTGTTCCATTCTCTACGTGATTAGGAGGATCAGAAATATCAGAAGGGGCATCCGAACAATCTTCTGGTACTGTTGAAGGCGTGGAAGAATTCTGTTGGCCAGTAAGAATTTGAGCTTCTGCCGAAATAGAGGTTGAGGGTTCAGAAGTACTCCCAGGCGTCCCATCAAGAGTGCTGGAATCCTCAACTGTAATGGTTTTGTCCCCAATGGTAGGGATCTTATCCACGGACTGTACAGGTTTCTCACATGTCGGGCTAGAAGAGAATGGAAAAATGTGCTCATAGAATATTACATCTCTAGAACAAAAATATTGTCCGGTTTCAAGATCAAACAAATTCTAGCCCTTTTTACCAAATGTATATCCAATAAAAATACATTTGCGACTCCGACTCGCAAATTTATCAACCGGGTTCAATTCCTTGGCATAACAAAGACAACCGAAGATCCGGACATTACGAAGATCGGGGAACTGACCAAAAATTAATTAAAAAGGCGTTTTGCCTTGTAAAAGTCGAGAGGGTGTTCTGTTGATCAAATAAGCGGCACTAAGTATGCATTCCCCCCATAAATCTATTGGTAAGTTTGCATGAAAACGCAAGGCACGTGCAACATTAAGAATATGTCGATGCTTACGTTCAACTCGGGGATTTTGTTGAGGAGTTCTTACCATAGAGGTCTGGTGAATAATTCCTTGGGTAGAAAAATACTTTTTCAATGTCAAAAATTCAGTCCCGTTATCAGTACGCACCGTCTTTATATTCTGTCCAAATTGTCTCTTGATTAAAGCCAAAAAATTTATTAGCAAAGAAGACACCTCACTTTTCTGTTTCATCAAGTAAACCCAAACACCTCTCGAATAATCATCCACAATAGTAAGAAAATAGCGTGAACCACAAGATTGATTGGCAGTATATGGTCCCCAAACGTCGCAATGAATTAAATCAAACAAAGTAGTTGCTCTACTATTACTCAAAGGAAAAATAGAACGTGTTTGCTTGGCCCGATGACACACGTCACACGGCTTATTTATTAAACTACTTGAATAACAACTAACTTGAGGTAAATAAATAAGAGCTTGCGATGAAGGATGTCCCAAGCTGTTGAGTGGGACTGTTGATGAGAACTTGTTCCTCCATTGCCAAGTAAAAGAGTCCACCAAGCTGCTCACCAATTTGCAAGAAAGAAGAACATCAAAACCATTGAGATCATCCCACAATTTCTTAAGTCGGCCGTAATAACTCATAATTGTCTCTCCATTCTTTTGCTTGCAGTCTGAAATTTCAGCCTTAATTTGGTACATCTTTACTCCATTGCCGACTGAGAACCGCTGTTTAATGTCTTCCCACAGGTCGCGAGCAATGTCTCGGTAGGAGATGGAGGTTCGGAGTGAAGCTTCAATAGTGTTGAATATCCAGGCCACAACCATCGAATTGACCGTCCACCATTCTTCAATCTCAGGAGCGGTCTCGGCGGGCTGCTTCAGAGTTCCGTCAATAAACGGATGCTTTCTCTTGGCATGAAGCGAAATACGGAATGCTCTGGCCCATTCTTCATAGTTGTAGCCTTTTAAAACAACATGAGTTATTATTGTTCCTGGATTGTCACTAGAACTGAGGGCATATACCAGACTTTGGGAAGAATCTGTCGTTCCATCAGTCATGGCGCAAAAGGAGAAGGAAAGATGAGTAGCGCACGGTTAGTGTGGCTCTGATACCATAAAGTAAAATGAGAACATATGGAGTCAATTCTGCCTTGCTCTATTCAACCGTGTGTGTCCCATATATATACAACCAAGTGTCCTTAAATATCTCCTCTAAATAAGCTAATTTGCTAACTATAAAGATGCCTATGATATGCTACGGTTTACAGTTTATATATGGAATAGATTTGTAGTATATTCTAGAAGAAATAAAGTAAAATATATACAAAATATATTCCCCTAATAAGAAGCCTGAAAAAAGAGGAGAAAAAGGGGAAGAGGGGGGATTTGAGTGGACTACCATATCAGCAAAGTGACTAGTTAATGGGGAATCAACTGGCTAGAATACAAATTTGCCTGTATTTATATAGTTCATGGACTTAATTGAGTGATTTTTAGTTGGAGGACTTAATTCACTTTTTCGAGGGTTTATTTGATAGTTTCCATCATTGTCATCATCATTATCATCATCAAATTCATCGTCATATTATGCAATCACGAGATAACATTCTATGTTCTGGAATATATATATATTTATTGTTCTCTGTAGTGGTTTACGAAACATCCAGATTTCAAATCAAATCCATTTTATGTTGCCGGGGATTCTTATGCGGGGATCGTTGTTCCAATTATAAGTGTGCTTATATCTGATGGTACGTATTTACCATATATACGTGTCTACGCATATTTAACTTTGAAGCCTAACTATCTCCCAATGTAAGAATCCTATTCTTTGGGTCAACTATAGTATAGTTTTCATTAATATTATTATGTGAAATTCATTTAATACAAATTCATTGTATTGCCTTCTTTTGATCTTATTAATTTCTAAAAGCAACATATGAAGTACTACATATATGGAGTTTGATGCACTAAACACTCTTGTGATATGATAGTATAAATTTGGCATATTAGCCCCTGTGATTTAAAAATGTGTCAAATTCCTCATGTGTTATAATTATTCATTTGCAAAAAACACTAAGAACAAATGCAGTGATATTGACAATTCTACTTATTGTATATTTGATGATCTATAACATTAAGATACATGATTTCAAAATTGTTAAATTTGTTCTTGGAAAAAAATTACACATGAATAATTATAACATAGGGAGCCGTGACCCATTTTTTAAATCACATGCAGCTAACGCGCCAAATTATATGTGATACAATAGCAATTAATAACAATAAGGGAACATTCCCTAAATAGGAGTAATAAAGTTTTGAAATTCCAAAATATGCCTGTCATGTTTTTATTCCCTAAATACAAGTAATTTTTGTCAAGTTTTGCAATGACATACTTCAAACATGACAGTTTCTGCCAAGTTTATTTTTTTTCAAACATTGGCAGAAAGTATTCCTATTTAGGGAATAAAAACATGAATGTCCTAATTTAGATTATGAAAACTTTGTTACTCTTATTTAGGATGGACAATTTCTATAACAATAATAGTACTAGGTATAATATAATGTTGGCCTCACCTGATCGCGTACTAAAACACATGAAACATGAAGTAACCCTTGAGATCCACTTGACACACTATCGTAATTTGGTTCGAATTGATTTCATGGAACCAATCTGAAAGGAGCTCGAGCGAGGAATCTAGGTTTTCACAAGTATTTGCATTTGGAGTATATATTAAGGGCAATTACTTTATATATAAACTCAAATATTGTCCTTGTGACCTTGTCATTGCTAAATAAAATGTCCCATTAATTCGTTTTTCTAAATTTTTTGGTACATCCAACGGTAATAACATAATCATTCTGTTTGCTACAATGTCATAATGTTTTAGTTATTTGGTTGAGAATGCAATTTCTCCTACGAATATACATACGGAGTATTTTATACCGCCACATTTTGATGTAAAATGAATTTGAATATCTTTATAGCTTTAGTACAAGCATACCTGAAAAATAAAAAACAGTCACTACAACATTTCAACACTATCATCCAAAAGTGTTACAATATCAGTGAAAAGTGTTACATTAGAGAAAATGTAACACTTTTTTATCATTATTTTTGCTCATGTTACATTTGCCCTATTGTAACACTTTTAGTCCCTAATGTAACATTTATACATGTAAAAAGTGTTACACTAGATCTAAAAAGTGTTACATTAGAGATATATGTAACACTTTTGTAGGTATGTTACATCATTAATGTGTAGTAGTGAGTGTGGATTGCAATGACCTTTTTGTGTCACCGAATTTTTAAGCATATACTCCCTCGTCCCAATATAAATAGCACATTTGTGTTTTCAAACATTTTTAAGAGGAATACTGTTTGACACTATTTGGCACTGTTCCGACACTGTTTGACACTGTTTTGCACTGTTTTGTTTGCCAAAAATGGAAATGTGCCTTTTATATTGGAACGGCCCGAAAAGGAAAATGTGTCTTTTATATTGGGACGGAGGAAGTATTAGTTTTTGTTTTAAAATACAATTATTGTCACTAAAAGTTATTAAATCACATTTTGTTCACTCTCTTATATATTTGGTCATACATCAATACTATGTACTCCGTATTATTTATGTAGATAAGAGTACTTCACAAAGAATAAAATTAGTATGTAAATGTAACTAAGCTAACATTAATGTACAAAATTTGGAAAGAATAGAAATATCAAATTAACATACTTAAGGAATCTAATGATGTCATTGGATCACTATAATTATTACTACATACTCCGTACTTAAGCAATGAATGGCTTTTTTGTAATGAAATGACATGTTTCCATTTATAACCATGTACGTAGGAAATGAAGTTGCCAACAAGTCGGTGGTGATCAATCTTAAGGTTTGTGTGTGTAGCATTCAGTTCCAATTGTTATTGTACCAAAGTAGTTAAATAATAATGTATATTAGCATATATAGTAACAATGCCATTGTTAATATTGTTTTAGGGGTACATACTAGGAAACCCCGTAACATTTCCTGCCCAGAAAAATTATTCAATTCCATTTGCTCATAGAATGGGTCTCGTCTCCAGTGAACTTTACAAGGTTAGTGTTTGTAATTTATTATTTTCATATCAATTCCGTAATATTTTTATAGTAAAGTCGTGTTTTATATATTAATGTGTCTTATTTTTATTGGACAATTAAATATTATAAACTAATACTTCTATGCTGTTTAAGTGTTTAACTACACAGGCTCCAAGTTATAATAAAAATATATGAAAGAAAAATATCAAATCTTATGGGTTTAATGCAATAAGACCAATATAATAAATAAAATAAAAATACCAAATTTTACTAGTCCGTTCCAAAAAAAAAATCTTCTTTAAATAAGATGTGATATTTGATGGAATTGATGCTTTGTTTTATGTAATACAATTGGAATTAAATTTTCATCGAAATTAAAACACAAGACTCCAAATAATTGTAGCTTGTATTCTATTTTGTTTGAATGTGTTTTTATCTCATTGGAAAGTTGTGTAGAATAAGCCCATTTTCTTAACCAACACTAATTTTAGCACTCTTTAATTTTTCAATGCTCCAAGTAGTAACAATGTAAAATTGTAAACATGAAATCTTATTACTTCAATCCACTAAAGAAATACCAGTAGTACTTTACAATAAAATCATCAAATCTTACTGCTGCAAAACCAATCATCGACTCCAAGTTCCAGTTCAATTGCGATTGGGCTTATGATTGAAGAATTTTTTTGTACAACCAAACTTTTCTCACACTATACTTCAGTACTCCACTAAAATAAAAATATACTATCTTCATCCTCCGAAATTGGGATCGGATAAGAAATTAAATAAAAGTGTGATTATTTCAAACAAATGAAATTATCACTCAATTATTACATATTGCAGACTAGCAGTACTAAATATAGTATGAGATAAATGTTGTGAGATAGACGAAAAAGGTAAAACCAGACAAAGGTAGGTGGGACCTATAGGGATCAGAGTAGTACCTTAAGTCTATGTTTGGCACAACGAGCTGGAACTGGAGACTAATGTCTGAATTGAGAGCTATTGTCTGAATTAGATACTATTGTCTGGAACTGAATTACAAAGTGCTGAATCTGAACTGCTAACTGAATCAAGTTGCTCGTTTGGCAAAAAAAGCTGAAAGAGTGATTGAAAAATGTAAAATTACGTTGAAGGCCATAAAATATACTACGTATTATTCAAAATATTTATAACCATGATTAAATTACTAGTTTTTCACGTAAACATATATTTTATTTGTTTAGCTTATTTCATCCCAACTAATTACGTAGTATCATTATGAATCATGTTTATGATTAAGTAATTCAACCTATTTCATCCTAGCTCATGACCATTTTTCACTCCGTATTATTTTTATGTCTTATTTGTTCAACTTATTTATTTATTTTAATTAAATTTATAAAATCTTAAAAATCAGCTGCACAAGTTATGGTCAACGTGAACAAACAAATACTGTATATTCATTTATATAGTTTTATATACATATGAGGGATGAGACTATTTATACATAGTAGGTGGAGGCTATAAATAGGGAAGTGGCAACAAGGTAATGGGCATGGAGGTCTATTGCACAAGGGCTGAACCTAAACGTTTGATATACCAACGTTTTAGTTCAGTTGGTTATTTTCAGTTTAAGCTCATATAAGTCATTCCCCCAAACAGAGCTACTTTTAAATTAATTGGTTGGATTTAAAGAATTTCAGCTCTTTTTGAGCTTAAGTGGCGTGCCAAACATATCCTAAGTATATACGAAGTAAAAGGTAAAATCGACACAAATCTACTTTTACATATTTAACAAAAATAATGGAAAACTTCACAACAATAATCTTAAATGGTTAGCTGCTTCACAAAAGTAAACCGAGAGTAGTTGTGCTAACTTTTCCATTAATTCCTTTTTTACATTTTAAATATAATGAAGCAAAAATATATATAATCTTTGACAATATTATTATATTATATTTGACCTTAAATTTATTCCCACCATCTAATTTAATATTCAATATTTTTCATAAAATATAGTATGAATATTTGAAAGCGTACTCATCAAATTCTTATTTATCTTTTATTTCTTATCAATATTGTATTTACTTTCAATTTAGCTTTTATTATAATAGACATTTCAAAGAAATTTCAGTAATACTATACTTCGTAGTAAGTATTAATAGAGATATTTGTAATTTCAGTCTCGTAAATTTCAATTGTGCCCATTATTTATTAATTTTGTAACTTTACTCACTGTTCAAATTCAATTGATGAGCAAAATTGCTTTGTTGGGGAATAGTCGATTGCAGAGAACTGTAAAGAAGAATTTGAATTTGAAGAGATGGATGGCATGAAAAATGATTTGTGTTCTCAAGAACTCAAGGTGTTCAAGCAGGTTGGTTGGTTTTTGTACCTTATATTATTTGTCTCACACTGGAAAGTTATAAAATAATAAAGTACTATGTAAAATTTTGGACGACATCTCATATCAGGCTGATCTTTTAAAATGAAATCTTATGTTTTAACATGGTATCATAGCCAAGTCCGGTTGTCATTTGATCGTTTGTTTAGCACTCATGGTGGGTACCTTGTTAAGGGTATGTTTGACCAATTTATACACCCCTCAATATTGTCTAGCCCGGTTCGGGCTAAGGGAGTGTTAAAAGTATTTGTTCCACACCGAGAAGCTATAAAAATAATACGTAGTATATTATATAAGATTTAGGACTACTTTTCCTATTAGGTTGACATTTTAAGATGAAACAACATGTCTTAACGATCATTCTTTCCATAATGAATAAAACGTGGATATTAGAGCATCTCCAATGGATTGGTTTGAGGACTTGCTTGCAATTTTCAAGCTAATAGCTTGCTATTGGAGCATTCCTTTTCCTTTTGCTTGAGATAGCTAATTAGCTTAAATGAGCTACTAGCTTAATTGAGGATGTAAACTTATTAAATAAAACATTACTAATAATAAATGAAGAGGAAAATGTTATAGCTAACTATTGGAGTACATTTCAATTTCGCTAGAAATGCTTATGTGGTTAGTCAAGCTACGGGGGAAATTAGCTAACCGCTGGAGAGGCTCTTAAGGACCCTACGACACAATCAATAATTCTCACTTCAATTCTAGTCACTACAATTATGTTCATATATATGGTGCATTAAAGTGACTTTAAAAGTATTTCCAAACATACTTTACTCATATTTTTCGGGAATGTGACATAAATACTATCCTCGGAAAACTGCCGCAAGCACCGCCGAAAAGGTTTTCTGTTTTTTTTTTTTTTGTATTTATAAAAAATCGGCAAGAAAACTTGTCGATGTTTTTTTACATTACTTTATTAATTTGATTTTTTTCTGTAAAAGTTGTCACTTTCCAAAGTGAAATTCGATACGGTAATATTTAAAGAGAAATCTCTTATTTTTATTGTATGCATTTATTCGATCAATTAGTCAATACAAATTGTTCAAAATAGAAGAAAAGTTTAAGATTTTTTTTTTAAAAATAGGAGTAAATATGTTTTCTTCCCATTCTTATTAGATTCTATTTAAAGATAAGTATAGGAGTGATGAATCATATTTTGATACAATAACAAATTTACTCTTATTTGAGAAATCTCGCTATCTTTTAATCATATTTAATTTATGGAACTTTCTATTGTGGTATTAAATCCTTTAGATATTTGATGCATGCAGATGATAAGTGGAATCAATCCGGAGCACGTTCTCGAACCCGTATGCGAATCACAGTTCATATTGCTAAATTCCGGCGGTGTCAAATTTTTCAATAAAGGAACCACGAGATCACTGCGTGAGAAAAAACTAAATATGCAATGGTGTCGTGTAAGTTAATCAAATTAAACTAAATGCATACCCACAACTCATAGTATTTATTATTATTGTTATAATTGTTGTTGTTGCTGAACAAGACTAAATGTTTGATTTGTTTGAACTTACCTGCCATGTACGAGTATCTTATAAGGAATTCCATTTGTATTCTTTGTACTCCGTAAAGGAATTTGACTTTGACCCCATTTTGAGTGCACCTCGGGTTAATATAAAATCATTTGATTTTCTACACTCATCATTTCTTCACAATTTTTTGGCTGATGGATCTACACAACATTCACAATTTTTTGGCTGATGGATCTTCACAACATTAATGATTATTAATGATTATGAGGTGTGAAGTCTAATCCAAAAAGTTGACTGTAAAGTCAAATCTCGCTTCTTACATTTGTGTGTAGACAATTTGGTCAATACATTGACAAAATGTTAAGAACTTCTTATTATCACCGCAGGGTAAGTACCACGATCTCTCAACTTATTGGGCAAATGATATTAGTGTCCAAGAAGCACTACATGTTCGAAAGGTGCTCTCAAACCTCTCTCCGGTAACACTGTTATTTGGGTTATCAGGCTTATTTGTCTACTTTTTCGTCAAACACATAACTTTTGATTTCGCGAGCTGAATGTGTAATAATAAGAAAAAGTAAGGTTGAAGTTACTTTTCTGGCTGTTTCGGCTGAAGTTACTACTGTAAAGGTCCATTTAGCTATTTTACATATAATGTTTTCTTTATTTTATCAATAAAGTATATTTTAAATTTAATTTTTTCATAAATCAGCTGAATCAGTCAATACAGCCACTTAAGCCAGAACTTCATAAATTCCAGCAGGATCAGCCGATTCAACTGATTTCAGTGTTACCAAATGGACTCTCACATTATTTTGAAGACATCTATCCAAAAGACTAACCAGATTTTACTATCAATATATTTTATTGATGTCATTCATCTCTCAGGGATCCATCGAACAATGGTTGAGATGTAGATCGATTATTTTCCCGAGCGCCTATACGGTCACAACAAGAGATAGCAGACAATATCATGCAAATCTTAGTCGTAGAGGTTATGCTTCATTAATATTCAGGTACATATGTTTTTTAATTAATACTCCATATTTATCAATGGCAACTAATTAGAGTTATATATATATATATGATCAATATGTAACTTTTATGTTGGAAATGTAAAACTATCTGGGCTAATTAAACAACTATGGAAGTTTGGAGTAATACTTATTGAATGTAATAATAACAATTATGAAATTGAACAGTGGTGATCACGACATGAAAGTGCCATTCCAATCAACTGAAGCATGGATTAAAGAATTAAATTACACTATCACAAAGGATTGGCGACCATGGATTGTAAATGATCAAATTGGCGGGTAATTAATAAATATCATCATTTGACGAAATTATTATTAGTTTTAAAGCTCTTTAATTGAACTGTGGTATCAACGAACGCTAAATTAGGTACATTTTTGTTTTTGCGTGCTGATTTTTAGTTACACAAGGTCTTATTCCAATCAAATGACATTTGCAACCGTCAAGGTAAGTTGTTTTCAGAGATTCATTCTACATATTATCAATGATTCAGTTGTTTTGAAATAAAAATACGTTTTTCTAGTTTAATTTAAATCAAGGGGTTCTATCATTCTAATGATTTTTTATATACTTTAATGTGGAATAGAATTTTCTCATTTTAGATTAATGCATACATTTGTTATTCATATTACAGGGAGCAGGACATGTAGCTTTTGAGTATAAGCATGAGGAGTGTGCGGTTATGCTAACAAGATGGTTATCTGAGGAGCCTTTGTAGAAAGGTAGAGGAAAAAATGAGAACAAACAAATAAAGCGCACCGTAAAATGCGCATGTAATTAAACTGCTTCTATGTATAGTAGCTAGTACAATTGGTTTTAATGAAAAGGATGATACAAACTTAACTACCCATTAAACTAGAAAAAAAAATGACATGTATATTGCTACTAGAATTTTTCCGTACAAAAATATGACTAGTTATGCTTTTGGACAAAAATGTGACTAGTCGTTGTGTACGAGTAATTTAACAATAGTCACTATAATATATTTAAGATTGATAAGTCACTGGTAAATGTTGAGTAACTGAGAAATAGTCACTCAGTGTGTCATTTTTTTGGAAAATTTTAAAATAAGTCATATTTTTTGTCTTTTGAATTTAATTTAGTAATATTGATGTTAAAAGGCCATTAAACTATGCGGCAACTACTGATTCCATTTACTTTTTGTTTGATATATCTATTTTGTGGTAATTGGTTAAGAGCTTTTTTTTTTAATATCAGTGAATAAGATATATCGAAAGATAGATGGAATCGGACAATTATGCCATTCTAGGCTTTGCCTTAGAGAAGGAAGAAATAGAAATACGCACGCAATATATAAGTTCTTGACCAAAAAAATATCCCCCATTTTCCCATAATTCTTGCCCCCTTTTTGCTTGAAAATACAATAACAAAAGATGGAAAGTCAATTGATCGAAAATATTCATAGGGCTTGTTTGGAAAATGGTTGATCAACCAATATTTAAATTCTTTGATTGAAAATAGCTGATTGAATTGGTCAAACAACTAAATATATTTTTTGATAAAATGATTGTATAATTTAGCTGATTGATACCAAAAAAGTAAAAGGGAAAACGTTGGGGATTGCCACCTTTGGCTCCTCTCTACAACGGCTTGTCCATTTATGTCTGTGAAATATTCGTAGATTTTTCCATTGAAACTTGAAAGGGCCACAGTTTACATGTGTGTATGAATCGTACAAGGCTTCCTTCATTGCATTGTCATTATATTTGTTGGGCCCAAGAATTTTAATTAGAAATTGGGCCACCGGTAGATAAATGAGTGAACCAGTCGAGAAGGTAGCAATAAGCGTATTGCGTAAAGATAAAGGAATAATACAAGAGCAAGTCAAAGGAGGTGGTTGCCTGGTTGCACGTGGAGGACAAATAGGGGATCATTGCTAAACTTGGGGAAGGAGTAAAATGCATGTGATAAATAGGTTATTCCAGCATTCTTAGATACACACGATAAACTACGATCATACATATACACATAATCCATTATTCTGTAATCCAAGCATATTGCTCAAGCTATTCATTATTATAATTACCAATAATCAATTTATTTTCTTTCATCAATTCGTCTATCTTCGATTCTGTGTTACTTGATTCCCTACTCAATTCCATCTTTAGATTAGTTTAATTTTAGCTTAAACAATATTCTTTTTTATGTAGTATTAATTTAATTAAATACTATATAGATTAGTTGCTTCTTGGTGGTAAACCGGTAAAAAGGTTTGCTGTCTTTTCTGCTTCGCATCCCTATATTATTATACTCCATACTCTGTATTTTTTTATTAAGTATCTAATTGTATCTATCTTGTTTACAAGTTGTTATGATACCTGTAAACAAAATTCTCTTTGCAAGAAATATGTAAAAATAATAAATATAAATTGTATACGTCTCTTTACATTCTTTCGTCTAGCCTTGTTTTGAAAGGAAAACGCCAAACTCAATCACCTACTACTAAATATCTAACTTTATCAAACACTTGTTGACAATAGGCTAATATAATCAACCAATAAAACATACAATAGAACCAGTTATTGTCAAACCGCTATCACAATCATCTAACAACTAACAATCGATTTTCAAACAAGACCATAAACTCAATAGCAATTCTTTTGTGTTTTTATTTTGAGTTTCTATTTTATTTTGGAAATATAAAAAGAAATTCTTCTGATTTTTAGAATTTGGAGTTTTTTATTCTTTGTTATAATAGTGATAATCTAGTCGAAGACCCTTTTTACTATCAAAATAAATAGAGAAGTCCAAGCATTAGGGCTATTGCCTAAGAATAGGTGTAAGTATGCAAATTAAAAACGAATTTGCCTTTTATCTAACTGTATCCAAACTTATGGTACAAAATTCTATGCAAACCACCAAGTTTCACTATTAGTTCGCCCCTACTAGGGGTGGAAACATGTCAAGCCAGACTTTCGTCTAAATAGGTCGGGTCAACTTTTGAAAGTGTAGGCCCAAGTCTAGCATGTTACCTGTTTAAGGCCCAAGTGTAGCATGTTACCTATTTAAGGCCCAATTTTCGGCCTAAGCCTGACCTTCTAGAAAGAGTGGTCTCGCCTGAAGCCTCTTAGCGCGCCTGTTAACCAAGTCTGTCACCCAAAGGAAATAATACGAAATATAATTGATAGAGTAGATGGGCCCAGACCCCATGGCCCACATACTCAGAAGACCAATACAAGGATACCTGGCGCCCACATGGTCCACCATCGGCCAGAACCCACCAGATCACAGAAAGTAACTTAGAAGCCTTGGAGCAGACTTGGTTTCCCTTCAGCTATTCTTCCGTCGGTTAGGCCCCTCGTCGACCATAACTACATCAATTGGCAGTATCTTGTGCATTTTATACCTAGGTCTAGAAATCGTGTAATCAGCCCGTATTAGAGGCCTTATATTGTACTGGGCCTCCCAGGAGCCCAACCCACATTTCCTCTATATATACTCTCATATGGGGTAGTTGACTAGTTATTGGGGTCAAGAAATATTAATTACTAGCACTTTCTCTCTAGATCTATACTCTATCAATAATCAATATTATCTATAAACTAGTATTTGATACTTTGATACATCAACAACAACAACAACATCCAAGCCTTAGTCCCAAAAGATACTGGGGTCGGCTAACATGAATCGATACATGATATCACCATCGAAAGGAAAAGAAAGAAAATAAAGAAAGATAAGCTATTATGACAAGGATAATATAAAAAGAGATGAATATACTTAAAAATTATAAATTAAAAAGGATAAAAATAATGTTTATATATATAAGGATATAAGGATAAAAAACAAAAAGAAAAAAAGATGAGGGGAAAAGATAATACGAGATCACTCATCCACACGGATACCCGCCCTCCACTTTGCTCTCTCTAAAGACATACCCTCATCCAACCCAAGAAGAAGCATATCACTTTGGACTCCCCTAACCCACGTTTGTTTGGGCCTTCCTCTCTCTCTCTCTTCCCTGCCTCTTCTCCACACATCTCAACTCGTCTGACAGGTGCATCACTCGCTCTTCTATGCACATGACCAAACCACCAGAGGCGCGACTCCTGCATATTGTCTTCAATATGTGCTACTCCCACCCTTTGTCTGATTGTCTCATTCCTCATGTGGTCCTTCCTAGTATGCCCACACATCCAACGCAGCATGCACATCTCCGCCACACTCATCTTTTGAATGTGACATTGTTTCACCGCCCAACACTCTGCGCCATACAGTAATGCATGCCTAATTGATATCCTATAAAATTTACCCTTAAGTCTATTCAGCATACCTCTATCACATAGAAATCCTGACGCACTCTTCCACTTCATCCACCCTGTTGTGATTCTATGGGATACATCTCCATCTAACTCACTGTCCTTCTGAATTATAGAGCCCAAGTAACGGAACATATTGCTGACCAGTATCTCCTTACCATCTAGAGTAATTCGCTATTACCACTGCTTCTACCTCCACCGAACTTGCACTCCATGTACTTTGTCTTGCTCTGACTTAGTCTGAAACCCTTGTTCTCTAATATTTCTCGCCATACTTCCAACTTTGCTTTAAAACCTGATTGCGTCTCATCAAGCAATACAATATCGTTGGCAAACATCATGCACCACGATATTTCGTCTTGAATTGACTTCATAAGTTCATCCATGTTTTAGAAATAATAACATATATAATACTTTTAAGTTTTAACTTATTATGGACCAAAATATATACAGAAATTGACCTAAATAGGAGTAAAAACGTTTTGAAATTCCAAAATAGGAGTATCATGTTTTTTATTTCTTGAATAGGAGTAATCTGCCAAGTTCGGAAGAAAATGCCATGTCTAAAAGCCTTGTAATGCCAAACTTGGCAGAAATTTACTTCAAGTTGGAGCACCCGCTCGGTATCTCTTGGGGTAGTTGGAAGTATTTTTTTACCACGAATACATTTTTGGGGTAGTTGGAAGTAATTTTATCTGACATGGGCTTTAATAGGAGGGCTTTAATCAGTTAGTGTATCGTAGCTGGTGTATTTGGCGGTTTTATTATTTCTTCATTGGTAATCACATTTCGTACTTATTTTCCCCTAGCTTTCGTCTCTCAATGGGTTTGACAGCTGCAGCACTTTCAGTTAATATTTTCAAAAAGCTGTTGTCACAGTGTACTTTTCAAGTACTCCTTATTTACTACTCTCAACTACTTATGGAGTTCCCTTTCAAAAAAAAAACTACTTATGGAGTTCAGCATTCACTCGTGTACATTTGCTCAGCATTTACTTATTTTATTGGGGTTACTTATTCACGGGTGTACATTTGCTCAGCATTTACTTATTTTATTTTACTCTACAACTGCTCACACACGGGGTGTATGAGAGCATTTTCTTAGGTTACTGTTCAACAAACCGCTCACTTTCTCTTCTCACAGAAAATGTCTACTACACCACCACCACTCCTACCAGAGAGTTTGGAGAAACGTATAGGGATAAAGAAATCAAGCTTTATCCGAGGCACAGATGAAGTTCAGATCCACTTTTGTCTAACTGAAGCTTTTGGGAAGACAGTGTTGATGAAAGTTGTGGCTTCGAAGTCAATTGCAATGAAACAATCATTTGACTTCGCCCAAACGTTATCCTGTCTTCCATTTATTTTGCATCCCTTACTCTCCTTTGTATCCCCCGCCTACTCATATTTTTTCTATGATCCTTATTCTACAACTTTCATGGATGCAAATGATATTTCAAAGAACCAAATAAGGTAATTAAGTCATATTTTAATTTTATAATTTGTAAAATTTAAAATCTACAAAATTTGAATACTTCTTTACTTTTTTCAGGGAATTACTGGAAGCTATTGAGATTATTTTTCCATATTACTATTATCCATCATGTGTACTGTTTCCCTATTAGTAAGCATATATACATGGGTACATGTCATGTATGGCCCATGCATTATTATTACTTTCTATTATTCATGCATCCTTTGTAATATATATATGTATGCGGCATGCACGTAAGAAATAGCAAGTAATGCACCATTCCTTTACATGAAGTCCAGCTCTCTCCACATTACTTCTTATTTTTATCATTAGCTTTATTTAAATTTAACATGGTATCAGAGCCAAATCCTGGAAATCACAATATCAATTTTTGAAATATTTTTTTCTCATATGAACGTGTCGGGAATGCCGCCTCACACTCATACCTGGATTATTGATTCTGGAGCAAGTGAGCATATCACTTGTGATAGTGCAAATCTTTTCAACATTTCTACTCATTCATCCGAACCATCAGTGAGAATTCCCAATGGGGAGTTAGTTCCTGTTTCTGCCGTCGGTAGCTTGTACCTGTCTAATGGGTTCTATCTTCGCCGTGTTCTTTATGTCCCACAGTTTCAATGCAACCTGCTCTCCGTTAGTCGCCTCATAGGTGACCTAAATTGCACACTCACATTTTTCTCAAATTTCTGTACTTTACAAGACTTACCCTCGAAAAAGCAAGTTGGCAAGGGTGAATTTCGTAACGGTCTTTACTACCTAGAATTACCTAGGGGTGAAAGGATAGCAATGGGAGCTACTCTTGATTCTAATTTATGGCACCGACGTCTGGGACATGCCTCAAATGGGAAGCTACAACACATTTCATTTCTCAAAGGTGTGCAGCAAAATAATAGCTTTTGTGAGCCAAACAAACTCGGCTACCCTTTCCCAAAAGTACAAGTAAGACTACTTGTTATTTTGAATTAATACATTGTGATATATGGGGAGGCTATAGGTGTGACTCTACTTCAGGAGCACGCTATTTCCTGTCCATTGTTGATGATTTTTCCAGAGGTGTTTGGGTTTACCTCATGAAAAATAAATCTGAAGTGTGTCAAAAATTGATACAATTTTGTAATATGATAGAAACTCAATTTGAGAAGCGAGTTAAACGGATACGTTCAGATAATGGAAAGGAAT